GCAAAGACGGGGATAAATGTCGGAAATAAAAATACTAATAAACATTATGTAATCCGTAAAAGTATATAATATAACCTGAAATATCTATTATTTTCTTTGTAATTAGTTAATGTGAAAAGAAATTAATACTTCCCATTTCTAATATTGAAAATACATAATTTGATTTAAAAGCAATTTTTTAACCAATTTGCTTTGACTAGGCATTATTTAACTTTGAATTTATTTACTTTTCTTTTATCATTTTCTTGTAGACTCTAGAAAACGTAGCATAAGGTACATTCATGAGAGTTTCTTTAAAAGTTCTTTTGCTGGATAAAAGCTCTACTGCTACGACGCTACGAAGTGCTACGCGGGTCATATGGTCTTTTACTTGGTCGTGTTATTTTCAAAAGGTTTTGTGGTGATATAATTATTTAATTACTCTTCCATTAAAAAAATGAAAATAATATATTTATCGATTTGTAAAAAAATAAAAATTGGTCTTAGTAACTTTTTTATAGGATTTTTTGTAGTAAAATTACCCTACAAATAATCTTCGAATGCTATCTTACTAATATTATAAATTCGAATGTTTGGATGGATGTTTGATAGAAGATATCTCCAAAACACTTGAACGTATCTCGCTGAAAATTGGCATAGATGTAGAACATATCCCAGAAAAACACATTGGCTACTGGTTTAGATTTTTTAATTTCACGCGGACAAAGTCGCGAGCGACAGCGAGGTTAATAGAAGTACAGATATTAATATTCTTTAAATTTTATTTATAAGTATCCTCATTTACTTAAGTTTTTAAGTTGACTATTCTAATCTTGTTTTACATCCGCTTTCTTAAGTAGTCAAATCAAAGCTGTACTAATTAGTGCGTCGATTTAACACCCCCTAGAGATAGTAGCAGTAAAGAAGTGGTTGTACCTTTTTTGTGTGTGTTTGTTCGTTGGCGGCGCGCGGCCTGATTTATAAAGCGCTTATCGCGCAACTGAATTTATTTGTCTGCTCGCTGCGGCCCACCGATGCTGTTTGCTGCGACTTAAGAATTATTAGACACGGCGAAATATAAAATAAACATTTTTAAGTCTTCATTTTTAGATACGGAAGCGTTATTGTGTAAACTCATTTTTACAAACTTGAAAATTGTCGTCACATTTTTATCTATGCAAAAAAAGAGCGATAATATTATATGTTTCGGTGCAGATGTTAAGGCAATGAAAACACACTTTAAAATTCCTACCAAAAGTATGCTTCAATTTTAAACACCACATTTTATTTTAAACCATTCAAATAAGCCATTTATTTATTTAAGGTATTTCCAAACCAATACGACTTAGGGACCTTCAAGAAGCGAGCATACCATTTCCTTAAAGGCCGGCAACGTATCCGCAGTTCCTCTGGTGTTGCAGATGTCCATGGGTGTCGTTGATCACCTTGGTGTTCCCGCCGCTCGTTTGCCCCTTCTCTTATAAAAAAAAAGCCTTTAATCGAATGATGATATTTTTTTATTATCATAGTGCAAGTCTAGACATTACCTAGGTCTGTGTAGGCAGTTGTCTCGGGCGTTGGTAATTGTGCAAATTATAAATATGCGAGTGTGCGGGGTTGAGGGGGCGCGGGGAGGCGGGGGTCGCGGGTTCACTCCCGACCACTCTATTATTTAAGACATCCTGTATCTAAACAATAAGCTTATCATTATGCGGATTTCTTTGCGTGTATAATATTATTAGGAGAAAATGTTTGATTGTTTCCATTGAATAGGCTCCGAAGCTACTGAACCGATTCATTTACTTTTTGTAAGTTAAACTTGTGACATAAGCTATGTTACTAGATATTTCTTGATTCCGCACAGATGAAGTCGGGAGCAACTGCTAGTTATAAATTAAACCAACGATGACCACTAACGTTTAACCATTATAAAAACATGAATAAAGAATATTTAAACCGAATTGGTACTATCTATCGAATTAACTTAAGTCAAAACTAAAGTTAGAACCTAGTCTAACATATATATTTTCACTTTACGTAGCATATACATGTACTTCATTGTTAAAAATAAAACATGCAACATTCGAATACCTTGCCGTTGATTTCTGAAACCAATTTTTTTTTTTATATCATAAGGTGGCAAACGAGCGAGCGGTCACCTGAAATCGCTGAAATAGCGAAGCGACCGTTGCCCATAGACTTACGCAATAGCATATGCGTTGCCTACCTTTAATCGACGGAGGAGAGGATGCACAGAAAGAAAATATTTTCCCTTCCCATGCATCCTCTCATCCGGAAAGTCCACTCCCACTTCCCATCCTTTCCTTATAAGAAAAAGGGTGGGAAGGGAAAGAGGACTAATATTGGCCTCCGGGACGCACACTCATCAGACGAAACGCGGAATAGCTTCCACTTCACGCCTGTCTTCTGTGTGGTCGTGGTATTTTACCGGGCGAGCCGGGCCAATTCGTAAATTCTTCTTTTTAAATATATTGTCATCTCTTTTTTTGTCAAAAATAATAACAGTGACGACGATATCTTATATAGAGATTCTGGTCTCAGAAATCCACTGTTAAAGCTCTCAAATTGACAGATGTTAAGTATAGCTCGAGTAAAATGACTTACCAAATTAGCATGCGTATAGCGGAATGGTCCTCAATCCCTTCCATTGTCCCCCAACTTGTTATATTATTCAGAGACATCTTGCCAATGCTCTGCCCTCGCGCTTTGGCATACAAACAATAGGTTTCCTTGTTTATTGTTACTCCGCATGAATATTTCTTAAGACACAAACATTATTAGGCTTTTAGGAGAAGAAATTTTATAAGTAAAGTTGATATTCTTTGCAAACTTAAAATATAAAACCAACTTTTAGCTTTTATCTTTTACTTATTATAACTATCTCTTTAAATTAGCGGTATTACTACGATATCTTATGTGTAAATATAGGTTACCTACAAAATATCATCAACCTGCCCTTATCCCTAAGTAGGGTCGGCACAGTATGTTCTACTCCATATATCTCTTTCAGACGTCATATCTGAATTCGCCCCCTTCTTACACAAATCCTCTTTCACACAATCCATCCATACTTTCTTTGGTCTTCCTCTTTGTACCTAATGCTACAAAATTTACGTTCTAGATTAGGGTAGACGCACTAGATTTAGGTCCCCCAAATCTGAATCCTTTGTCATACAATCGTTACTTCCTTGTTAATTAATTAATTATAGTAACTTACGTATGTTGTATGGATATAAAATGCATGCCTTTTTCTAGTTTCTTTAATAACAAACAAAATTAAGCACAAAAACTGTGAATACCAGCTGCCGAAATTAAAACATTTAGGTTGAAAAAAACCGGAGTCTGCGGCCGCGGCCGGCGTACATACTGAGAACAGGTTACGTCGACGCTTTTAAGAATTCTCATTTATTTTAAAACGAAAATACTAGAAGTTCTTAAATACATTTAAGAACTTTTTTAAAAAAGTAACAAACTACTCCTAGATAACATATCCCGCAAAATAATAACAAGAATAATAGAGATTAGATATGCAAGACGGTTATAGTATTTTTGATGAATTGCGCAATTAAAAAAATAATCTTTTCCAACACTTATACAACTACAAAGCAAAAATAACCACCATATTTGTATATTTTGAAGAAACTTTTCTCATTAAAACTGTACTTGCGGTATAATTTATACGATTTTAACAAAATTAAATTAAGATTAATTGCATATAAAACGGTTGACGACCCCACTTTAGTTTCAGACTCGGTCAATACGTGCAGTTATTGCTCTCGACAAACAGGAAAGCGCCTGACATTTTAAGCCATAGATGCCCTTGCGGATTATTGCTTGTACACTTTTTGTAGGCGCTTCACTTCAAACTGATATTTTGTTCAATGTCTACTTTTACAAAAAGACGAGAGTTTTTAAATGTTTTTGTTAGTTTGTTTAAGTTTTACTTAACTTTGAAATGCATGATAGTGCAACCGGGGGCACAAATGAAAAGCAATTATACGCTAAACGTTGTCTCTGCGGCGCTCTGTACTTACATACAAACCTAGGTACGTAGGCATTTAACATTTGAACCCCGAAACTAAAAACTAACGGCGGCCGTTACGTAACTTTCTGGGCGGGAGCTGACTGCAATAGACACCAGACATCGAGCTACGAAATAAATAGAGAGGCCATGTAGCAATAATTTGCAAGAAATAAATCTAATAACAATTTTTATTATTACTAGCTTAAAATATACTTTTTCAAAACCTTGTATGCACTTCACCTAAAGAATGTTCTATTTGTTTAAACTTTAACATACGAGTAGCATATATTTTTATATGTTTTTATACATAAAGTTAAATATAGTGTTGTTTAATAAACTTATATTCCCTACTTCTTTCGCTCATCCAAAAAAAAATAGTCTATAGTTTCGTATCTCTGGTACAAAACTGATTCGTCTCGCGCCATATCGCGACGTTTTTCCCGCGCTAATTGCCGCTCCGCAACGAGCAGTAGCGCGACAGCGGGCGGCAGGCGGCTTGCGATTGCCGTTCTGCCACGATCCTTTTTACTGTGCGCAATTGAACACGCTAATCTAGCCTTATGTGCAAAACATACCGCTTATAAGACTATTAAGTTTAAACTTTTCAAAATTAACCTAAAAGGCTATGAAGATAGGATTCTTTATGGTAAAACCAATTATTTTTTTAGACCACCACGGTCTTATAAAATATATTAAGGTCATTTACACGATTTTTGTTTACCTACTCGACCAATTTACTATGAAAAAATAATCTTAGATTCCATGTGATTTAAACTTTATTAGAAATCTTGTTCAGATTTAAATAACTGACTGTGGGTTTCTGAAATCAAATCGTATTGATATCTCATTTTTGCCTAAAGTAATAAGAGGGATAACATGTTTTATACAGAGAAACCCAGTTTTAGACATAACTACCAAAATGAAAGCAATAAATTCAGTATTTGTATTTGAAATAAAAATACAGTTACATTTCTAAACAAATTATTTATTGACCTTTATTCTTACGTTTAGCTTTTAACTTAATAACACTATTGGAATCATCATTTAATTGTTGGAAGAAGGCTTTGGACGTTTTAATTGACTTATCATTAGTCTCGACTCCCTTCTTTGTGTTTCTGTTATCTGTCACCTTTGTTACGTTGCCCTTGAGACGTTGTAACTTCTTCTTCTTCCTTCTTTCCCTCTTTTTATCTGTTTGTGTTCTCTCATCTTTACTTACTAAATCTCCTTTACTTTTCTTCTTTACTTCTTCAGGTGCTAACAAAGCTGCATCACTTGTTGCTACTGGTGCTACTTCCTCCATAGAAATTGCCGGAGTGTTACTAATGATTTTCACTTCTGCTTGCGGTGGCTTTGGAGTATAATGATAATTACACAATGCATCTAATTTAGAGAACAACTTGTCCATTGCCTCTCTCAATTCCTTATGTTCCTGAGGTTCATTCTCCTCGTCGTTCTCAGGTTCCCCATGTTTCTGCTTTAAATACTCAGCTTCGTAAACCTGAGCTAAACTTAATTTGCTTTTAGAATGATCCAATACTTCAGGTTTACGGAACACAAGTTGATCATCCACAGGTTTTTCTTTTCTCTCAACGTCATCCCAAGCTTTATCTTTAACTCTGCGTTGAATAATCTCTTCCAATGTAATTGTTGTTTGTTCTGTTATGATTGGTGGAGGTCTCGTTGTCAAATCAAAGTCAACAACCTCTTCGAGCAATGAATTTTGTGGTCGTTTGGACGCATCAACTTCTCCTTTCAATTGCCACGGAGCTTCTTTTAAAGTTTTCTCTTCCAGTTTCGAAATTTGTTGCTGCAAGCGTTGTTGACGTTTTTCAAATTCTGATTTCTTCTCTTCTGTGTCTAGTTTATTTATTGATTTGTCTGTTTCGTTTGTTTTACTTTCTGTTTCACTTTCATCACCAGAACTACTTGATTCTGGTTGATCAGCAAACCTAACCTTTTTGTCGCCTGATTTAGGCGACTCCTTTTCTTCCGTTTCTGATTCATTTTCATACATTTCATCTAAGAGTTCTTCATCATCATCCCTTTCATTGTCATCAATGTTGTCATCATCATCATCATTAACATCTTCATCACCATCGAAGAAATCAGAGTATTTTATATCCTTTTCTTTATCCTCATCATCTGTTCCATCATCAATGTCATCAAAGAAATCAATAGACTCTTCATCACTATCTTTTTTCTTACCATCATCCCTTTCCTCTTTTAATAAAAACTTTTCCATGTCTTTTAGCTTAAAAAAATCATCATCTACAATTGACTCTTTAGTTTTTGACTTCTCTTGTACATTTTTTTGCTTCTTTGCCTTGGATCTTCTAGTCACTTTAGATTTTGGTTGTGAGCTTAACTCTTCAGTGTCCATAGAGACATTTTGTTTATTTTTTTCAGCTATAGCAACAGGAAATGTCAGATCTGTTTTGTTTGACACACAATTAGCAACTTCCCATACAAGTTGGTCCCAACATTGGGAGTTTTGAAGCTCCACTTGCTGCCATATCTGCTCCTCATCGAAATCATCGACTAGTAAATGAGGCAATGCCTTATTTTTCTGTTTAATACCCTCCTCTTCAGACTTTGTAAAGTCATAAAGAGTTTTAATCAAGTTTTTAACATCGTCTTTCACATCGTCTTGAACTGATAAATATTTAACAGGTTTTGCAGTAAGCACATTAAACTTATCGATTATTTCTTCCATTTTTTGATGTTTCCTTTTTTAATTATTAGATATAGTATTAAATTCAGTCAATAAAATAAAATAAAATACGACCACATGCGGTCCTCACGTTTGTTTGACAGTTGACAATTATTGACATTGACAATGTTTTGCTCTCGTTGGTGTCGTAGTTCAGAAATTTTTATAACCTATTGAAACAAAAATGTTCAATAACTTAATTATTATTAGTTAGATCATTCTCCTATAACATGCTGCTTAGAGTATTAGATACCGTGGGCTTCTGAAACCAAAATCCCCTGCTGATGCTCACTTCGTTTGGCGTAAAGGTCTCGTAACCATGCCATATATAAAAAAAAAAATTCACACAGAGACACAAAGTGAAAGAGTGAATGAGATGATCATTCACTTATTTACTTTATGACTCTGTTGTTCTCTTCATTCATTCTTCAAAACTTCAAATTCATTGAATCCCATTGCCATATATTTTGCGTGTTTATTTTTGTAATTTAATTGTTTTGTAAATTTTTAAGGACTAGTGAATTATGAACTATTACATTGTCAAGTAATCTGTATTTGTCACTTTGAAAAGTCGATTGCATTACGATTAACGAAACAATTATAAAGGTAAAGTAACTGTTTTGTGTAACAGAAAACATAAAACATAGTTCATACGATTTTCCACACGGATGATCTCAGATCTTATGGTCTTATTACTTTTTCTTGCGAAAGTTACAATTCTATTTGTTCCGCCCACGTTAAGAACACATGCTACAAATGCCATGGTTAAATCGTTTGGCGACAAAAAGTGAAAGGCAAGGAAGTGTTTTATTTTTTGATGCTGACATATATTTGACTTTCAACTATACGTAAATAAAAGTTCTATGATAAAATTTATTTGCACATATTTTACTATAAACGATATCTTTCTACCTATACAGCAAATATAATTTTATAAAAAATATAGGAAGTAATAAAAGCTCTGATGTCTAGAGGAAGTCAATGTAAGATTTCCACGTGACATATGCTATGTAAATACTATTTATTCTTTATATCAGATTAGATTAGATGAAAAGTTGATATATTTTTGTTACCTTGTCAAAGAAACAATGAAAAATGCATTAGTAAGTTATAATTACAACATGTGTGCATTTATAGACATAATGGATGCTCAAGACCAAATGGAGCTGAAATACAGTGCAGGAGGAGAAGTTGGAGGCCTGGAATTGTGTATAGTCTGTGGAGACAGAGCTTCTGGAAGACATTACGGAGCAATAAGCTGTGAAGGTTAGTACTAATATTACTGTAAAGGACATCCTCATGTCAAGTACATCCTTTATATACAACCTTGTCCGTGCGGAGGGTCGACACAGCATACTATACTACTCTTTCACACAATCCATCCGTACTTTCTTTGGTCTTCCACTATCTTTGTAGCCATCCACATTCAATCTCATTATTTTTTTATTTATTTGATCATCATCGCTCGGCATAACATATCCAAACCATGCTAACCTTCTGCTCCTAAATATCTCAATCACTGATCCTACTTCCTCTAATATACACATTCTTAACTTTATCTTTCCTCGTCACACCACACATCCATCTTAGCATACTCATTTCAGCTACATGCAATCTATCAATTAAGTACATCCTGTATCTATAATATTACAGGTTGTAAAGGCTTCTTCAAGCGTTCTATTCGCAAGAAGCTAGGCTATCAGTGCAGAGGCAGCATGAACTGTGAAGTTACCAAACACCACCGCAACCGCTGTCAATACTGTCGTTTACAGAAATGTCTCGCATGTGGCATGCGGAGTGACTGTGAGTACCAAAGTGATACACTAAAGTATTATACAAGAATTGTCATCAGCCTCACTATACTTGCCCATTGAGGGCCTCGGAACCTACCTTCTGTAAGTCACTAGGCCATAGTCAACTACATTGGTCCAGTGCGGGTTGACTTCACACATATTTTTGAATTTCTTTGTAGATATTTGCAGCATCACAATGTTTTTCTTCACTGTAGCATCGTTGGATTAATGTACATATGTAAATTGGAGATCGAAAAACACATTGGTACATGGCGGGATTCAACCCAAGACCTGCAGAAGTCAAGTGCTTAACCCCTGAGCTACCGACATTCATTTCTTCTTTTTACTATTAGTAGAAAAATAAATTCCTGGACTTGTGCTCTGTTTATAGAAATAAATAAATTTTTATGGGCAGTAATTCTTGCACTATGTTGACAGCGGTCCAACACGAGAGGAAGCCGATAGTGGACAAAGCGAAAGGTGAGGCGCGCGAGGCGCTGCATGAGCGCCCCGGGGCCGTGTACTCCAAGCTGCTGGGTCTCGCGGGTCAGACGCAGACCGGACAGGTACATATTAAACAAAATTATAAGGGCAGTGGTTACTTGGATATTTTGGCGCTAGCGAGTTAACTTTTTCATTACTCTGATAAAAACTTTTCAGTACAAAACAAAAATTTGTGTGTTCTGTAGGCCTAACTTTAGTTCCCTTTCCCTTCCAACACTTTTCTTAAAAGGCAAGAATGCCTTATGATTAAAAAAAAATAATCTTTTACCATATATTTAGTATTATGGTAACACAATTCCAGATAAATCCAAAAGAGGAGCCGAGTGAGTTCGGCTCTGTATCACCAGCTCCAGCACTCAACTTCGCGTTAGCTGCAGCAGTGGCGTTCAACAAGAGCGCACCCGTGCCCTACCTGCCGGCAGGGGATGATGCCCGCAGGCACCTCATGCTGCAGACACAGCTCGCTAAGAACCTCTTCAAGATGGGACAGTTTGGTGAGTACACACAACTTTGTTTACCCAGGGTGGATCAAACCTAAACCTGTATTTTCAAATGTACCTTTGTCCAATGACAACTTTCATTTAGCCTTGTGTGTATAATCAATTATTTGGTCAATTTGATCCTAATATAAATTAAATAATTATAAATTTATAGATATATTTTACACAATGGATGCTAAAATTGTTAACAAACAGAAAATCTTCTAGTAGGACAAAAATTAAAGAAATAATAAAAAAGTATACATATGCACTCACATACACAAAAACTTATAAATACCTAGCTTATAGTCCTAAGGAATTGTAAATTTTTTTGGATGAATAGAGATCTTTTTTTTTTTATATCATAAGGTGGCAAACGAGCGAGCGGCCACCTGAAATCGCTGAAATAGCGAACTGACTGTTGCCCATAGACATACGCAATTGCATATACGTTGCCTACCTTTAATCGACGGAGGAGAGGATGCACAGAAAGACATTTTCCTTTTCCATGCATCCTCTCATCCGGAAAGTCCACTTCCACTTCCCATCCTTTCCTTATAAGAAAAAGGGTGGGAAAGGAACGAGAACTAAATTAGGCCTCCGGGATGCATTTAAATTAACAATGTAGTGTAACCTCTGAGACACAGAGATGTTTTAATTTTAACTAGATTAATAGAAACAATTAGTAGGTTATGTTTCTTCCAGATTGTTCTACATCTATGAAAAATTTCATTGAGATCCGTTGAGTTGTTTAGTAGATACTTTGGAAGAAACATCCATTCATACAAACATTCGTATTTATAATATTAATAAGATTAATTAATTGTATTATAGGTGCAATAAACGAGTACTTACAGTCAGCTTATGGCGCGACACCAGAGACACCGCTGGCTGCATTGCACGCTGCAGACAACCAACAACCTGAAGGTAAATTATTTTAGGATATCATCATCAGCTCATACCATTGCACCAATATATTCCTAATCATCATACGCCTGATAGGATATCTAACTGTTTTAGTTGTCTGTCTGTCAGTTTGCAATAAATATATGTCCGCACTGAGGGTCCGGAGCCTGCCCTGAGTTAGTGACTAGACTAGAAAGAGACTGTTTCGGGTAATAATTAAAAAAAAACTTAATTAATAGCCAATCTGTTCTTCCAGACTATGTTCAACATCTTCGCCAAATTTCTGAGAAATCCATGCCAATCCGGAGATACCTTCAAATATCCATCCATCCATTTGTATTTGTGATATTAATAATATGTAATTAAGGTGGTGGTGTTGAGGCGGGCATCCTGAGTACTGCGGAGTCACAGCGGCTGACACTGTCGCTGCCGGCTGGCGCTCCGCCCCCGCTGCGCCTGCACGCGGCATGTGAAGCTGGTGCACGTCTGCTGCACGCGCTCGCACGCTGGACCCTCGCCGTGCCTGCTGCTGCAGCATTGCCGTCAGTATCTTAGAACTGATTGTAGTTAATATAACATAGGATATTGAAATTTTCTTGTATTGTAGAAAATATGATAGTGGTGCGTTCCGGAGGCTTAATTTTAGTTTTTTATCTTCCACTTTTTTTATAAAAAAGTTTGGGATAAAGAAGTAGATTTGAAAGAAGGGACGCATAGTAAGGGGAAATATTCTCTTTTTATTCCTCCCCTTGTCTGGGTTCTCCGCAATTGCGAATGTCTATGGACTTTCAATTCGCTATTTCAGCGAAAACACATGTCCTTTTGCTCGTTTGCTACATTATAATGATATATATTTTTAGATTCGAGATCCAAGCGACATTACTGCGTAAATGCTGGCCGGAGTTATTCGTGCTGGGTCTGTCGCGGTGCAGCAACGCGCTGCAGCTGCCGGCCCTGCTGCCGCATCTCGCAGCTCATCTGCAGCGGGAACTGCGAGCTCGACGTGACAACCAACATCTACATCATGCCAGAGATGCAAGAGCTGAGGTAATGCATTTACTAACTGAATAGTAATTAAATATGTACATAACGGAATGTGAGCGAAGCGCGAATATTTGTGACAATCATCTTGATATTATTAACTAGTTGTCGTAGTGAAGAAATAAAAATAAATTTTATTAGTAGCTTATGTGTTGTCTTAGACTTAATTGTATGTTTGTATCGAATTTTATTAAGTTTTGTTGAGCTGTTCTGTAGATATCTTCTAACAAACATCCATGTAAACTTTCGCATTCATAATATTAGTAATATTATGTTAAAATTAGTATGAGATTTTTTGGTATACTTTAAGCATGATTGTCGCAGACGATATGATTGTTACTAATATTCGTAATAGGCCCATTGAGATCACATACCCGGGAGTGTATGTGGGTTGAGGTAACCTTCAAATAATTTTAGTATACTTTCAGACAGAAATAATTTAATAGGATGTATTAGAAGGGCAAATATTCTATTTCTGTGCATCCCCTCCGTCCAATAACGGTAGGTTATATATGTACATTTATCCGAAGTTCTTGCGGTGAAGGAAAACATCGTGATGCTGCACATATCTGAGAAGAGATTCAAAGGTGTGAAGTCAACCCGCACTGGGCCAGCGTGGTTGACTATGGCCTAATCACCCCTAACTTAGGGTAGGCTCCGAGCCCCTCGGTGGGGACATATAGTGAGCTGATGAGCAGCAATTTCAAGTGATCGTTCGTTTCCCACCTTATGATACAAAAAATTATACAAAATATTGTATTACTAAACTATTTGATTCCAGTTAACAATAGCTGACTACTCCGAGGAGCGCATAGCGGAGGTGAGCGCGCTGCTCTCCCGCCTGCACCAGCAGCTCGCCGCACTCGACCTGCTGCGGCTGACGGAGCGCGAGCACGCACATCTCCGCGCACTCTGTCTATTCTCACCTGGTCTCTCAAATATACATAACGATATACTAGCCGTCGCCCGCGTGTCCGTCCGCGTGGAACTAAAAATACTTAAAGTAGACTATGTTCTACTTCTATGCCAAATTTCATCAAGATCCGTTGAGCCGTACCGGAGATACTTTGTAACAAACATCCATTCATCTACATTTGACTCAGTAATATAGTTTTGCAATGGTAATTTATTAAATTATTAAATTTTCAAATATATGTATAAGATAAAAAAAAACTAATTGTTTAATAAAATAAAAAAAAAGTGACTATATATATATCTAAATATGTTCTCTGTTTTTTCTTTCAAAGATTAGATAAGTGGAAGGACACAAACTGAATGATATCCCATTTCAAAATTGATTTAATCATTTAAACTCCACCATAGAAAATTACAAATGCGCGAAAAACATTACCCTAATTTTTTATCGTTTTTTTTTCATAGATGGTGTACCAGAATTCCTGACCCGCAAACTTCAAGACTACCAGGGCAAAGTGCTCCGTTCTCTCCGCACCAACACTGATGAGGAGCGCGTGGCCACGTTGCTGCTGCAGCTGCCACCACTCCGCAGCTTCACACCCACATTCATTGAAGACGTATTCTTCGTCGGCTTCGTCGGTGATGTCTCCATTGATGAAGTTATACCATATCTGTTGAATGCTGAACGCTGAAGAAGACCTAGTGTTATGGAATGATCGGAAATAATTATAATTATGTTATTTTAAAATATTAATCTAATTTTAAAACCAAAAAATTCCGACTGACTGAATAGAGCCATCTATTGTATGCGTTTTAAAACAATTTTTTTTTTTAATTTTAATTTAAGAAACTGTAATATATATATATATAACACTTTCTTAATTTAGAATACTCGAAAAAAAAAAGATTTAGGACTGAAAAAAAATATATAGCACGTGAAAATTCAACTTCTTTTCACAATTTTTATGCATTTTGTGCCGATAATACACACTATGACACTCCGGGGATGAATACGAATAAAATGACACCACACTCGTCAAAATCGGTTCAGTGGTTTATGATCTAGGCTCACAATAAAATTTACATACAAACAAACAAACCCAGATATATAAAAAACAAACTAACATACGCGCGAAATACATTACGCTATTTGTCAGTCGGATAACCTAAATCAGATTCAAACTCATTGAGGGCCCTTTTTCAGTCTTTTAATCACTGAAGATCTGATCGTTCTGAGACTATATTCTAGCATTTTTTAATTAGTTTAATAAAAAAATAATAAGTTTAAATATAAAAATATGTGAAAATATTAGTTATTTCGTCTATATACGTGTCTTCCAGTGTTAAATATAAAAACTATGTACTTTAACCGTCCAATATATTATGTAAATACAAAATTGCCTTGTTTACAATCTTAGCAAATATGCTAATAAAATGTTATTCTTTTTAATAATTACTTGTACAGAATAATTTTCTTTAAGCTTAGAAAATAAAATAATATCGTAAACTTTAGTAATAAAATTAATAGAATTTAAGGTATGGGGGCATCCATAAATTACATGAGGTGTTTAAGGGAGAGGGGATCGAGTTAAATCTCATCTAATCTTACGTTGGAGAGGGGGGAGTTCTCGGCAAATATCACGCAATTTTTTTTCTTATTGAAACAAAAAAATATATACTATTTTGGTCCAATTAATCGTAGAATACGTAAGGAACTCACATTTTGAAAAATCTCACGTGAGATTGGGGTAGGGGGTTGAATAAAATCTCACGACATCTCATCAGGGAGGAGGGAGGGAGAGAAAATTTAAAAAACACCTCACGTTATTTATGGACGCCTCCTATTTTAAATTTACACATTACATATGCAATCTTTTTTTCTCTTTAAAAGTTGTTATCAACTGTTATTTCAAGAATATTGTTTTGTGATTTTTTTCAAACTGTAATGCATTTTATTATCAATGTTTTAACTTAAATTACGGTATTTAAATGTAAAAATTAAAAAAAACAACGATTCTTTATATGACGTACATGCGTTGAGGGGGGACTATTTAACAAAATGTAGTTAATATTATTATATAAGGAACTGTTATGTGTAAGTTATATACCAATGTATGTAGCTATATAAATATTTTTTGACGATTGTACTTAAGTGCCTTAAAATATTTAATAAATATATTGAACAATATGTTTTTTAATTTAATAAATCTGAAAACTATTATCTTGTTCGAATATTGACATTACTGGCATAAACGGTTAATTCCATTGCCTCGGCGGAAACACTTTTTTTTTAAAGACAATGAAAATATATTTTTAAAACAATGGCATAGGTTTTTAATTTATATGAAAACTAGCTACGACTCCATTCACACGGAATTAAAAAATGATAATCAGTAGCCTATGTGTTCTTTTAGACTGTATTTCACATCTATGCCAAATTTCAACAAGATCTACGCAACAGTTCTAGAGATACCTTCAAACAAACATCCATCCATTGAAGCATTCGCATTTATAATATTAGTATAGTGCCTGAGATATAAAAATTTGTTTTGTTTAACGTTTCTTTGTTGTGTGCAAGGCATTGATATGATATCAATTCAATTAATCTATTCACATCGGTGGTGCAAGAGAGCTTCATTTTATTTAAACAGATAATTAAGCCAATTAATTACATGTTTGTAATGACCTTTGTTAATTGTTATCATATTAAAGGACAAAAAGTTATCAAACTGCAAGACAATACTATATAATAATGTCGCCCGACTTCGCTAAGTTATCCCTTCCAGTAAAAATATCTTCAAAATTGGTTAAATCGTTTCGTAGAAAATCCCGAACAAACACGGACTTAGGGATGGACAAAGGAAAAGTTAATATATATTGGTTTTTCGTATAAGAAATGGTACGGGATTTTTTTTTATATCAGACAATTCAAATTTATTTATGGTAAATTGAATTTTGAACAGGTCACGAAAGCGTTCCAAAGGACGCTTTCAATACCTGTTCCCATATCATATCAGACCAGACAGATAGCTGAATGAGTAATGTTGCCCGTTATAAAATTTTAACTAGATTATGGAGAAGTCTAACAAAATATTATAATGTAAAATATCATTTAGAAACTAAATCTAAAAAAAATCATGTATGTAAAAACTCAGTATCACAACAATATAAAGATTAGGAAATAACTTTGACTTTCGGAAATCAAAAGATAAATAAAAAGCTCCTTTACCCTCTTTTTTCAAAATAACTACAATCAAATTTTAAGCAAATTTTACTTCTGCATATGGTAACAACCAAGATTTTATTTTATCTGTCACTGTCATTTTGTCTTGATTGTATAAATCCGCGGGCATTGTAATATTTTGTTAAAAATTTAGTATATTTCTTGTTAACATGGCGAGTAAAGTGGCGGTAGTAACTGGTGGAAACAAAGGTATAGGCTTTGCAATCGTTCGCGGCCTTTGCAAGCGTTTCGAAGGTGTTGTATATTTAACATCAAGAGACGAGGAACGCGGCAAAAAAGCGGTATCGGAACTTAATAAAGAGGGTTTAAGTCCGCTTTATCACCAATTGGATATAACTGTGAAGGAAAGTGTTGAAGTTTTCAGAGATTATATCAAAGAGAAATATGGAGGAATTGATGTCTTGGTTAATAATGCTGCTATTGCTTTTAAAGTTAACGCTAAAGAGTCGGTTGCTGTCCAGGCAGCGGAAACTTTAAGAGTTAATTATTTCTCAGTGCTTACAACATGCGAAGTACTATTTCCTATACTTCGAAATGGCGCTAGAGTTGTTAATGTTTCGAGTTCCTGTGGGCATTTGAGTCATATAAAGAGCGAGACTTTGAGAAACCGTTTGAAAGACCCGAAGTTAACTATACCCGAGCTTTCTGAGCTTATGAATCAGTATATTGAAGATGCTAAACAAGGAACTCATTCCGATAAGTGGGGTAACTCCTCATATGTTGTATCAAAAGTTGGATTGACAGCTTTGACTATGATACAACAACGTCAGCTAAATGATAGAGGTAAGATATTAGTAAAAATATTAAAGTTTATGTATGTAATAATTTTTATGGTTAAACAATCAGTTACTGACTTCACTGCTATGGAATGAGATAATTTTTATTCTTAGTCTACTCTTTCAATAAGTAAAACCCTATTTTATGCTAATCCTACTATATATAATTATTTTAGTGATTTAGACTCAGTGCAGACGGGCCACTGACCACAGCCATTGGTGGCCTGCGACAACTAGCTCGCATGATTAATCATAAATTTTTTTACTGTAGTGAGTGGCTGCCACTGGCATGTGTGTCGCATTCTAACAACATTTTGTTGTATGAAAAATCATGTGAATTCCTTGTCAATAGCCACCAATGGATGTGGTCCTTGGCCTATCTGGGCTGATCCTAAATGCTGTAATTTTTGATAGTATTTTATCTCAAACTTTTATTTCCAGATATAAAAGTGAATGCAGTACACCCTGGTTATGTAGACACAGATATGACATCACACAAAGGCAGGTTGACTGTAGATGAAGGTGCAGTAGCGCCACTGTTTCTTGCACTGGATGCTCCTGACACAGTCCGTGGTCAATATGTCTGGTGCGACAAGAGGATTGTTGACTGGGATGGACCAAAGCTTAGAGATGGATAGAAATCACTTCTTAAAGTGTAAAAAGATCCCATTTGCTTAAAGTTGGATGCAGTGCTTATACAAAATGCATTTTTGTTATGTTTAATCATGTGTCTTAAAGTTGTAAGTTTAAAGTTTGTTAATAAATATTCTACAATTTTTGTTATCAGTAAAAGAAATTAAATATATTTTGTCTACTATATGATTGTATATTTATTTTATAACTCTAGAACAATATTTTACATATCCTTAACCATCTCTACCATGTTTTACCAGTGTTGCCAGACTTAAGAAAAAGAAACAAGGTAAAGTGTAGATAAATTTTATTATTTATCAATCAAAGTTCCCCTAACTCTCTTCTCTGTACTACTGCTGGCTGGTGTCTCTGCTTGTCTTTTATTCATTCCCTTCCTCTCCAGTTGCTTTTCAATGATCCTAGCGTTATTTGCATAGCTGTCTGCCACCTCTCTTGCCTCAATCTCATCCTCTTCTTCATCAATAGTTGAAACAGTGACTGAACTGAACTTCCCCATGTTCTTAGTATGTTTTGTTACCATTATCTTTTTAGGCTGAGCTAAAGCAACTTGTTTGTAAATATCTGTCATAGTGCCCTCTCCCGCTGATGAAACTAACGCCTCGTGCATGATAAATACAACGTTACTGTCTTGATTATGTTTATAGTAGATTGGTATACCACATTTTTTGCATTTTAATCTGTACTGTCTCTCAATACCTTTCTCTCTCTTCAGATACACTGTTTCGTCAGGATCGGCAGTGATTTTGTGAGCGTGTTTTGATCCATCTATAACTCTGGCTTCGTCCGTGGGACGTAAGGGTAATCTGTCTATTGTACAATCCAAAATAAGAGACATTTGCCCACAAAGGCAATAGTATATATGCAAAGGTTTTGCTTCATTGTATTCCTCCTGGTCTTTCGTGTCCGAACAGACTATGCTTCGTGATACTACTTTTGGCATTATTATGATTTATAAACTTATATATCAAAAATTCAAATATGCGTTTTGTTTTCAATTACAGAGGAAATTGTATTAGAGATATAGTTCATAAGTGACATTTACAATTCATGTGTGACGTTTGAGACAGAATTGCCATAAACAAAAATGTTTGAAAATTTTGAATTTGTCTCAAAATAATATCAAGAAATTGAATTTACTTTTGCTGTATTTTTTTTTAGTTTCACATTAGTGCCTTTTTTGGGAACTCCCATTCTGTAATAGTGTAAGTATGTTACATGGGATTTTTTAAGCATCATCGTAAACAAAGTTTGCAGACTGCGATCATAACGGAACGTAATTTTGTAACTTACTGTCAACTTCACATCGATTGTCTTTTATTCAACCATTTCAACCGATTTGTATTTTACTGCACATGTGCATCGGTTTCTTATCGTTTTAGCTAAATTAATACAAATCCGTTGATAAAATGGGAGCTATAGCGAGCAGATACCGTGTTTCCAATGCAGGTCTAACACCCACCGATCAACTAAACATAGAAAATGAAACCAAACGCGAGAACCCTGGAACTTTGGATGAATTACACAAAAAAAGCAAAGGTAACCATCAAAGAAAAATAAAAACGATTTAATGTATTATTAAGATATAATTAAGATATCGGGAATGTATTATTTTTATTATCCAGTCAGAAATTGATGTTATTACATTGGTGAAGAAATCGTTGAAAAGTTTGGTTATCTTGTGATGTAATATTACTTGAAAACATTTTGGCCTAATTTAAGCTGATATATGTGATTATAAATATGGTATTTTATTTAAATTAAACTCTTATAAGGTTCATGCCATAGATAAGGGAAATATGTCTTATTTGCATTAGATAAGACAGAGGTACACTTTTGGATGTTAAAAAAAAAGTAATTATATTTTTCTGCTAGAAATGTGATACCTATTTATTAATCTGTTAATATTGCATGTTTGTTTTATTTAGAACCTAGGCTCACTTCTACAGGGTGTTATAATTTGTTAAAATTACTATGAATTGTGAATTTATTTTTTGGTATGAAGTTTTGTTTTATTTATCTTGGAATTTGAAAATTTCAGAGGTGATGCCAGTGAACTTTGAAGGTGGTAAACTCATGGTGAATAAAGGCATATCAAATCATTTTCAGGTAGGTTATATTATAAATTATACAGTATTAGAATATTTGTACAACCTTTAAAAGAGAGTTCAGTGCGGAACACACAGAATGGAGGTACATGGTCTGTCTACCTCTCTGGTCTAACAGGTGTGAGTGTGTTGTCTATAGAAGAAAATGTTAAAGAAAAATATATAGATGTATGAAATCAAATTTATTATCCAAAAAATATGTTACAAGTTTATAATTATAAAAATATAATAGGATGGACAATAATATGCTTACAAAGGAACTGTTTATATTTATAATGTTGATATATAATAAATAAAAAATTTACTATTACTTTCAGATGGCACACACTCTTACAATGAATTCAGCTCAGAATGGCTATAAGTTGAGTGCAACATACATTGGTACAAAGCAGATATCACCAACTGAGGCATACCCTGTGGTGTTGGGGGATGTAGATCCATCAGGAAATTTCAACTTTAACTTGATCCACCAACTTACCAATGAGATAAGAGTGAAGGGAGCGGCACAGGTATGTTGGATATAAGTTGAATAGTTTAATATAAATTTTTGTGAATCTAAAAGGTGTTTTTCCTTTTTAAGGAACCTGTAAGCACTGCATATATGAATAAAAACAATATTTACTATAAATGCCACTTTAACATTTGTAGTATATTAAATTAGTCTATCATTGTGCTACTTATTATTCAAAGTTGTTTGTCCGTGGAGTTCTTTTAATTTTCATTTCTTTAGCAATATTTAAAATTTATACTGTGGCAATATTGTACTGTATTTTGTTAAAAATAACTCTATGGCAACTCTTTGTTACTATAGGTGCAGGAATGCAAATTAACAGCGACGCAAGGCACTGTGGAGTTCAAGGGGACGGACTACACTCTCGCCGTGGCAATGGGCAAGCCAGACTTCAGTGACAAGTCCAGTGTCTTTGTAGGGCATTATTTACAGGTTGGTTGTTTATATTAGTAATATTTGTCAATATGAATCTATTAATTTAAAAGTGAAATTGTCATATGTGATCTTTAAAAAAAATAATTTTTCCTAATTGAAAGTAAGTCAGAAAATTGTCACAATCCTTATACTTTGTCTTATGCAGGTTTGTTTACCACTATAAGATAAACAAGAATCAGAAATATGTTATATTAAATCATTATGTGTGCATTTTAGTCAGTAACGAAGCGGCTAGCGTTGGGAGCGGAGCTGGTGTACCAGTCGGGTGCCAGGATCATGGGCGGTGAGATCGCCATCGCCTCTGCAGCAGCCCGGTATACAATGGATGGTGAGTTTATACATATTTATTTTAGTAATGTTTAAAAAACTGGCAATTGTTGCTGTTCTGATATTAAATAATGTCATAGTGCACGTAAAAAGTTTAAAATAATTAATAAAACATAAACATAATACTGATTTGATTTAGCTATTTAAGTTACAAGTGTTTGATATAGTTTGTAATTGGCATTATCTAGCTAGTTTTAACATTTGTGTTGAAAAATGCCTATGCATTCTTGCAGATAGTGTTCTAGATAACAAATTTCATCTCAACATCCATCTATATATAGAATTTATAATATTAGTAGTCACACTCCCAGTCCCCTGACCACAAAATAAATACTACTTACAGATTCAGAAGTGTCAGCGACTCTGGGCGCTGCTGGATTCCATATTTGTTATTTCAAACAGGCCAGTGAACAATTGCAAGTAAGTTTTATTCTTTGTTCATGATTTTCCTCAACATTCAAGGTGCAATTTTCATTGTGAAGATTTTTTGAAATATTTTTATTAATTTTTTTTTTATTTTGTGTGTATTTTGTTCCGTTTACAGGTTGTAGCAGAAATGGATACATCGTTCAGAGGCATGGAGTCTGTGGGCACAATAGGCTACCAGGTCACCGTGCCAAAAGCTGATCTAGTATTTAGAGGTAAGTGACATATAACATTTACTAAACTGAGTCGAACTAACCCATTGCTGTAATAATAAGATAAAATCATCTCGCTCGTTCTCTCTATAAATGTCAGAAAAGTTGTTTTTTTTAAATAAAAAAGGTATAAAAAAGCTACAAGCCATTGTTTACCAGTGAACAATCTGTTCTTTTCTGTATATTTTCTAATAGATAATTTTTGGTACTCTTCAGAGCTGTGAATAAATTATTTTAGAATTTTACTTACTAGTATTATAAATATGAATGCCTCAATGGATCTCAATGAAATTTGGCACACATGTTGAACACATAGTCAGGAAATCTGAAAGAACATGTAGGATACTTACTACGTTTTTAATTCTGCGAAGACATTGCGGGTAAAAGTTATTAAACAATTAATCATTATTCTGCCATAGACTTTTGCTTTAATAATTTTTATAATTTTCAATTTCCAGGCATGGTAGACTCCAATTGGAACATTGGTGCAGTGTTAGAGAAGAAATTACAGCCATTGCCGTTCAGTTTTGCGCTGTCCGGCATGGCCAATCAAGCTAAGCAACAGTTCAAATTTGGCTGCGGACTGATTATTGGATAGTGTATCATTGTGTCATTAGTGTTTTTGGTGTGGTTATAGTGACGGTATACAGTGAACCCAAAGTTTTATTTTCAAGAGTTATAACACTATTATGGTGTTATTTTTCTATGTTTTAAACATATGGCAGGTTTTTTTACTATTAAAATAGTATTTCTTTGACTATGATAAATCTATAATCTATTCGTCTAACTAAATAATCGGTTTAAAGTAAGTTCAGGTCACAAAATTTAATATATTTTTGACCGTTGACAAAATATTTTATTGGAGTTGTTCTGCCTTTTAAATATGGATGTATGTTTTCAAACTGCTAATATCTTAAATATGTTTTTTGTACTATTATATATGACGCTATGTGTACACAATAACATATGTATGAAATGCATTTTGTTTAGCACAATGAGCAAATAATTTATATGCTACCATAAGGTCACATGTTATTGTGGATGTGTAGAAAATAAAGCAATATGAAAGCAAACTAAATCGGTATTGTATTGTAATATTTACTACATTTCGAATAATTTACTAATGTATTACACAGTGTATTTGAATGTATTTGTGTGGTTTGCATTTGAATTATCTTTGGATGTATGGTTAATACACTTTTCTTTCATCAATTAATTTAATCCAACAATTTTAAAGTGCTTAGTGAAAGTAGAATTTAAAAGAAATTTTAGTATAGTTTAAACTGGATAAACAAGAAACTTCTATAAGGGAGTCATTATCCGGTCCCAGTAAACTCTGGGAAGAAAGCGCATTAAGCAAGTAAAATGCTGAAGTCCTTTGAACTCTCGCTTATCCTGTTTCGACTTTCTATAATTATGCTTTTCAAGCAGTACTAAATTGTATCAAAACATGTATTACAACAGTGGAATTTCAGTTACAAAAGGCCAGTGCAGTAGTGTTGTAACGCTTCAGATATCTGTACACACAAATTGCATATTTTTATATATATAGAATTAAAACAACACCAGAAAGCATTTAAGATGTTGTGACCACTCTGTATTTTTAGATTGTCAATATTTTAAACATTTGTGTAATTGTTAAAAAGTTTTTTTCTTGCCACAATTGCATTTTTGAGCCATCACAAGTTCATACATCTTTTGAGTTCACTTTATTATGTAAAAATTGGATAGATTGTTTTAAATACATACATATTATTCCTATTATGTTATGTTTTTCCTATGTTCCAAAGATGCATTTATTTGAAACAAAAAAAAATTTACTTGTTAATCCGGCTCTATTTTCTTTCTTGTCTATGGCCACAAAATGAAAGATCATAAGTAAAGGGATTGTGAAAAAGGATTTTTACATTAAAATGGTGTCATAAGTCTTCTATTTTATTGTCTGTTTTATTCTCCATGTATTTATTGTTTTTTTTTTCATGAGTGGTCAAATGTCAATGTCTGACTTTCGCTTTTCCTTCCCGTATGATTGTAGATAGAAAATGGCGTTTTGTACATAGAGCCCGTTGTTAAAATGATTATTTTAAATAGAGTTATGTTAATAAATCAATTGTCGTTTCTTTTTTCATTTATTTCTTCAGATGAATGTTCAATAAAACAATAGTTTAGTTTAAAATAACGTAAGTTTATTACATGTAATGAAATAAAAAATAATCTATAAACCTTTATTCTGTTACATGCATATTAGATAATGGATGCCACAATATCGGCGTTGCACGACACAATGGTTTAGTTAACTCTCAGTATTAAAACCATAGACAATAGTGAGGTTGTTACAAATGTTGCCAGATTTCGTCAATGAAAATAAAAGCAATCAAATTACAAACTTATATGAACTACAATATTTATTAATTTTTAAATCAGAATAAAATAAAATTTATTGTCTCATGATCTATTTTTAACATTATAGTAATGCTTCAATCTTGAATCAATTTTTATATCTCAATAATGTCTACAAGTAATTTCTCTAACAGATTTTAAAACCATTTATGCGAATTATTTTAATGCACGTAACAATTCGATAACATATCGATTTTAAAAACTAACATCTCTGTGCAATTAGATAAAAAAGCTGGGTGGACATGTGTAAGTTCATGAAAACTACCAAAAAAAAAAATTAACTACAAAATAAATTACCTGTCAACCCAACTTTCCGAATTACAAACTAAGAATTTAACTTGTTACCTTCTAATACCAAAATATATTATTATGGCTTGAGTTATCATTTTGAAGATACATTATATATGTTTTTTATAATATTAATTTTTTTTTCATATTATATCTATACGTAACCTAGACTTAATATAAAGACGATTGCAACACTTTTAGGTTCGCAACATGTCATTGTTAGAGATCTATTTCTTTTATTTTGAGATGTTCTTTAAGACATTTTGGTAAAAATTGATTTATCTTTTACTAGTTGAGAAATTTTGATAATTGGTAGGAAATACACTATAATTTTTGGTAGCTTTTAAAAAAATGAATCATGTACATTGTTTTTTTTTATGTGATTTGCCAAAAAGAACATGCCAAAACTGGCCAAAGGTAAAATCTGGCAGTACTCAGCGTGATTGCCGTCATCACTGTAGAAAAATGCTAGTTTATTTGGTTGTCAGCGAACATTGCGCGGGAAAACGTTACTGTGTAGTCGTGTATTGCAATGTTTGCGCGTTAGCCGTTAAGAGGTAGCCTCGAGTTTAGCCAGTAGTCGGATCTTCAAGGGGAAAGAAGATGGATACTGGCGACATTTAGTAATGACCGCAACTAGCTTTAAATCAATATAACTAATTTGTTTTTTTAATAGAAATTCATGCGATTAATATAAAAATAATGATAAAAATTGATTGTGCTGAGAAATTAAAAAAGAAAACATTCATAAGCAAAGGGTCAACTACACTAAGTACAAAATGATAGCATTACAATTTCTCAACCTCTTTAATAATCGACGTTTTTTGAAACAGTAATCGCTTGAAGTAACAACGAACATTTCATAACCATAAACATTTGTATTATCCATTTTAATGACCTCGGTGCGACAGACCAAAAATAAATTTGAGTGTTGCCATCAACTAAAATAATTCTACCAAAAGTTTGTCAGAGGGAGATTGGACAAAACACAGAAGAATCATGACATCATTCGTTTAAAAATTATCTCTACTATAAAAAAATTAATTACCTATGAGATATAGTGATGACTGTAGTCCGCTTCGAGGGACGATCGATAGATTAAGTTGGATTTATGCTATGGGGACAGACTGAAGATATTTACAAAATGCTATCTCGCTCACTCCTGTAACTTGTCTCGCCAGTATTATATAATTTTAACCTGTATATATACATATATATATATATATATATATGCTCCACAATGTTGACAAACACAGGGTTCGATCATTATAATCTAGCACACAATTTTTAAAGGTAACTTTGTTTCATCAATTCAATATAGAAGCATGATTCGAAAAACTTTGAGGTAATTAATATGATTTCCCTTATAAATACGAAAGTACTTGTACATTAAAAATTGTTAATTTTGACAACCTGTATTATACTTAAATTTAGTGATTAAGCCAAAATCCATCGAATAATCAGCCATATTTTTTTAAAATTACGTCAAACCGTGAACACTCCTAACATATTGCTAATCTTAAGCGTAAGTTACACTATGCGACCGAAGACAAGCCATAGACAATTCATAACTTTTTAAACCAACCAATTCTTCCTGTTTGAAATAAATTTCAAAAAGTAAATGATCGAAAATTTCCGTACTTCGTGTTCGCATCGACGATTCTAATTTCATATGAGCATTGATTTCGATGCTAAACTAATTCCCTAAAATTGGCATTTCATGGTCCATTTATATGTAAAACTGTATCAGATTTATCACTGACTGGCAGAATATGGCGTCAAGTGTTTATACAGATTATATAAGTACTGGCTTTTACGAACACGTCATGCGCTATGGTCCGTGAAAAGTTACGCAAGATGTCTATGGCATTAAAATTGTCAAAGTCTAGAGTAAACAAGACTTAGATGTACATCATATTTTAAAATAAAAACCAATACGTAATAGGAAAACTTTGTAGTCACTTTGGAATATAAATAGTGCTATTTGTATTACCATTTTGATATGTTTCAATAAGAAATGCATAAAAGTTCCAGATAAATGCAATTTGCGTAGCTTTTCACGGACAAAACGGATTATTTGTGTGCGGTCGCGGCAGTGTTCACACATATCATCAAAATCTTAGCTAGATACTAGAGTAAATAGGTGGCACACCTTGTAAGGGAAGAGAGAAAAATAGTAGCTTAGTACAGCTAGCTTTTTAATGTGATTAACTCGCTATTATTGCAGCAATTTCAAAATATAATTGGTATTTTTTATAAGTTTTAATGGCAACATTTAGAAATGTCATTTTCATCATTATCATTTAGAAATGTCACACATTTAGGTGTTAAAGAAACTATTTTGTGTGAAACAAAGGATGAGTTATTCATGATTTCTATAATTTTGCATATTTGCATATATTTGTCAATTGTTCGCGATATTCCCACCAGAAAGCTATAAGTCTAGTATTGCCATATTTCGTCTTTTAACGGTAGCGTATTGAAAATTGTAACAACAATGAATACACAACATAATTTGAATATCGAAATTAATTAAAAATTGCAGCATAATTCCTTTAAAAGCTGAAATAGATGTACTAAAAGAGAAGACAGAGTACTAGCTTACCTATCTCTCTCCCTTGTCTTGGTATGCCGGTGAACACCGCGCGACGGCTACACGGGGCGAGCGCGCGCGTGACGTGCCGGACGCGCGAGGCGTGCCGGACGCGCGAGACGTGCCGGACGCGTACGGCGTTCCGGACGCGTGCGGGGAGTGGGCGGCTGACGTTATAACTCCATGTCGTGCGCGGCGTCGTCGCTGAAGTCGCTCATGGAGCTCTCGGTGTCGCTGGTGTGCGCGCCATTTACTTTACCCGAAGCGGTCGCGCCGCCCATGCCCGTGATCGCGTCCTTTTCTAGAAGCGCCTCCTCGGTGGCAAATCTTCGCACGTAGTCTATAGTATACCAACATTAATGTTTAAATTATATCAGTCTACCGTTATTTGATGACCAAAGAATAATTGGTTCCCATGAAAAACTTTTTGGTGGAATAATTAGCATTGAGAATTAAAAACAAAAATAAGCAAGTTAATATGGTCAAATTGCCCATAAAATGTACATGTTCTTTTTACTTCATTTTGTTCCTCTTTCTCCTGAACAAACGACAAAAAGAAAAGATGCAATAAAAAGACAACTGAAACTAAATCAACCTTCCAATTTTGCTTACTTGACGTAAATACACAAAATAGAACATCAAACTTTTTCGATGGGCTACCTTTAGATGAAATTTAGTAAAGTACTACATACCAGAGACTTTCTTCTTGTATTCCTCGGGCTTGTGCAGGTACATGGCGGCCGCGTCCCCATTCAGCGGGTCGATGGGGTTGGGGTAGGTCAACAGCTGCGGCAGGAACGACTCGAAGATGTTCGACAGATCTGGAATGTGTAAAACTTGTGCTCTAAACGCCATTTTTTCTACTATGCATAGCACCAAACTCGAATGATGGAAGAAAACGAATTTGTTATGTCATGTATAATAATTAAATAAATAAGTCCATTTTAATATAATATGCTTTAATATTCAATTAATGTTCAATTTGTAACTGAAGGCTGTACAAAGTATACGGTTCGCCATAAAATGTAAACACCACAGTTTATTTACGAAACTTTGCAGAATCTGTCATTTGCAGTAAATCAATATCGAAGTTGGTTACTTAATTATGAATTATGAGAACGCTTGCATTGCTGGCTACGTCACAATGTAAGACTTAATACCTGGGATCGATTCAAAATGTGTCAAATGAGTTCGGTGTGTATCAAAATGTTACTTCCAAGTAACATTTAGAACTGCTAATACAATAATAATTTCTGATAACCACAATTAATCTTAGCAGTTAGCAACACATGTGTTCATTGTGTCGTAACGGACTGAAATCACTTGAAACAAAGCGTATAAAACGTTTAGACTAAAGTCACGTCTTTTGACAACATAATTATGTTTTGAGATAACCGAATTGCATTTAAATTTTAAGCCAACATTTTGTTTCTTGAAACTGAAAATTGTAGTTTTTTTTTATATCATAAGGTGGCAAACGAGCGAGCGGCCACCTGAAATCGCTGATATAGCGAAGTGACCGTTGCCCATAGACATACGCAGTTGCATATGCGTTGCCTACCTTTAATCGACGGAGGAGAGGATGCACAGAATGAAAATATATTCCCTTTCCATGCAACCTCTCATCCGGAAAGTCCACTTCCACTTCCAATCCTTTCCTTATGAGAAAAAGGTGGGAAGGGAAAGAGGACTACATTAGGCCTCCGGGACGCACACTCATCAGACGAAACGCGGAATTGCTTCCACTTCACGCCTGTCTTCTGTATGGTCGTGGTATTTCACCGGGCGAGCCGGGCCGATTCGTGCGAAGATGTTAAAGCGGGCTCTACCACTGTTATTACTTTCTTCAATAGTTTTAATTTCTTTGTTGCATTATATTTCTAAAATTCTGAAGAACCAAAGAGGATGAGTGTTTATTTTAATAATCTGTGCTTAAAAGAGATTTGAGATTAACATTTAATACTGCTTGGGATCTCACCATATAGCGCCGTCCATGCTTGATTGATGACGTCAAGGCAGACTGTACCCGATACCTCGTCTATGTTGGGATGGTACACTTTGTTCATAAAGCCAATGGATGGAGATTTGAATGGATAGTGGTCAGGTAAGTGAACTCGCACGCGCCACACGCCGCCCTCGTACGGTGCTGGAAGGTTAAGTATTACATTTATCTGGCTCTATACTTATACTGTGCTATCATATTCAAAATACATTAGGGTGGACAGTAACTTTTATATTTCGTATTTAAAATTGTATTTGCTGTATGGCAATTCACATGTCTACATGGCAACTCAAATTTCTACTCTTTTTTATTCTCGATTACTTTAAAGAACCTTAAAAATGTAAGATGAAAAGAACATTTTAAGAATACATATAAGTCTCCTATAAGCTATATACAACTTTAAAAAAAAAGGAAAAACAATAGGCAAAAAAGTTAACCACTTACTTCCTGGAGGTCCAAAGAATTTCACACAGAACTCATTAAGTCCTCCGAGGATTGTAACTTCGTGCTTACTCTCAATGCTGGGGTTTGGCATTAAGGAAATTATCACATTTCCCCTTATACGAGAAAACCAAAAATAAATGCTTTATGCAAATTATATTTTTCCTCAATATTAAGCAAGGTTTACATAGAAAATCTTACTAATTTAAATGAGACTGTTTGAATTTATGTGTGTCTGAAAGTGTCTCAAGAACAGTTCTGTTGAGCTGATAATCTCAATGAAATTTGGCATAGATGCAGAACATAGTCTGCAAGAACACATAGGCTACTAATTAAGTTTATTTATTTCAGGCACCAGGGTCTTGTGCAACAGCTAGTAGAAAATTTATTAAAAAACTGCATAGCATCCTTACAGTATACAACCAATTTGACACTATACACGCTTTACATAACAGTTTACATGATAACATATTTTATAATAACAGTAAATAACATATAACAATGATAAATAAAAAGAAGAAAAAAATACATAGATAAACAGTGCAAGAATATATCAACACGTAACTAAACATCAATATTCAAACGTCTTCCACACATCTGTACACAGCCTCTGTAATATCAATGGTTCCTCAATATATGAATTTGAAAATGATATTGTTTATTCCTGAAAAATCTAAAATAATAGTAATTTTACTTTTGATTGCAAAATATAATCATTAGGTCATTAAATAACCGTAAACTATATTTCCTTGTTCTCCCACACTAGTTGTTAAGATAAGAGGGTTCTTATCATATCTTATCAATCCAGTTTGTGTAAAAAACTATGTTATTTCTATAAAATTTTAGCACACAAATATCATACTGTGAGGAATATTAATATGTTAATTATATATGGAGTTCATGCCCAAAAAGGTGCATTTAATTATTAATAAAACTTTTTACAGTATTCTTAGAGCTTACAATTATTATTTTTATTTGTTATTAAAATATAAAAAAGTTGGAAATCCTACTTTTATTTTAAGATCCTGAACTTATTGTGCCATAGACTAATATATTTTTTACAAATAACTAGTAACAGATAAAAAATGGGTTAATGAGGATAACTAAATTGAAGTATATTTTATAAACTGTGATTGTTATTTGGTATGTTTTTAAATAACAAGGCTTCAATTTTTATGGACATGGATAAAATATGTAAAGTTAGTGTAAATATCATTATGTGCTAAACAATGGCCACAAACATATTTATCTTATCTAATAACATAATTAATAAAAGTATGACAGTCAACTGTATATAAATATGCCTATAAAAACATGCACTAAAATAAATAATGGGTTATTATAATTATCAATATTTACTTCTATCAAAGTATATAAAATAAAATATGTAAAAAAGATATGTGTAAATTTAAAACAGAACATCTACATTTAGTTGTTTACTGTTATGATGATTTGTATTTATATTTAGGGAATCTACTTTGGATAGAAGCCAAATTCTCGATTCCATTAGGTTTGAAATTAAATGATAAAGTTGATTAAATCTAGCTAAAGCTATATTGAGATGAATTGCCTTTGTTAATGAAAGGTTCAATTTTGATCCCAGTGTAAAGTCTTTTCATTGTTCTTACACAATTTCTATGTAAAATGCAATTATTATTAAAACTAAACATAATTCGTGCGTGTAAAACCTTGTTGAATAGAGAAAAAAAAAACGCAATTGAGACCGTGGCCTACATTAAGATTACGAAATAATACAATCTATGGAGGCGGAAGAGTACAACTCGCGAGAATATACTCGTGCGTATTTTCTATGTTATATATAGATACGTTGTACCAAATAGATACACAAAGAATGCATACATCTCATGGCCCTAGGAACAGGTATAAGTAATATTTAATCTTCTTATACTTAATATTTTGATTAATTAAACGCAGACCTCATCTAACAAAAGTCTAAGGACAATTTCTATCGATTTTATATTATGTCGTGACAATCAGCTGATGGCCCTTCAAGCTACCTACTTATTTACATGGTGGCCCTAAGTGCAATAGGTGCTTTGTAATGAAGATAACAAAGGATACAGTTTGATGACATCTGTGTCCATACGGCGTTTTCCAGCGCTCGGTGACGACATCTTCGTGATCTATTTCGAATAAATCACTATATCGAACACGAACACTAGCACAAAGTCACACTCGACGCAGCGAGACAAATATTTCGTGCACCAGCAGCAGTCAGAAAAATAACATTGTAGAAAAACAATGGACACGATCCATAGACTAAAATTTCGAAGATGATGTGTAATGAAAGTGGTGTTGTCAGATGCAAGAATTATTCTTCCTACCAATTTTTCTTATTTTTGTTTACCTTTGAAAAAAATATAATCATTTGTGATAGCTCCTAACAAAAAACTGGAGTCAAAAATTTAATTAAACACCAACGAAAATCTCTTCATTGCACAGAATTTTGCTTCAATCTGTCTAAACCATAGATAGGACATTAAGGACGATTATGCGTCAAAAATAAAAAAGGCTGCACTTTTGTCTACGCCCTATCGTGTAAAACTTTGCGTGTGTGACTCCATGGAACATTATTTTTATTTCAATCTAATTATAGAGTAAATTTAATTTACCTCATCTCAAAGTTAGTCGAGATACAGAGCGTGGAAACGGTGACGGTTTTGCAGTGAATAAAGATCGCGAAAACATGTGTTTTGATGTGAACATTGCGTGAACACTGATGACACTAGCAGAGGATACATGTCAACAATTTGTAATTATTTTACGTAGGGGTTGTAGGTTTTGTGTTTTTTCTTAATAATAATTCCTGTGATTATTAAAACGTGAAGCTTGGTTGTGACAAGGGTGACGGCGCTGTTGGATTTGGTGGCAAAAAGCAGATTTAACTTCCGGCAGTAATGTGGGGCCGGTAGAATCGTGGCTGACTGTTTTTACCAGCTCCGATATGGCGAATCCTGCGATTGGAATCTCCTTCGATCCAAATGATATGTCCAGGTGAGATACGCTCATAAGAATAAGCCTACACACGATACCCATTGCCTTCAGTTAAATATAATTAATAAAATTTAAGCAAACAAACATGAAAGCTACATATTGTATCCTGTATATATGTATGTGTATTATATATTATAGCTACATATTGTTATCCTGAAATCCAAAAACAAAATGTATATAATATTATCCATCTGTTAATGCATTGTTGTTACATACTGCGGTGGACTCTCACCTTTAAGTCCACTGTCAACATTGAAATTAAAAGTATTCCAATTATTGAACTAAACTTAAATAGCTGAATTAATGATAAGTTACATCAGCCATAAAACTTATATTAAACACTTTAAATTCATCTCTTCTAATAAAGCTAATAAAAGGCACAAGACAATGTTTTTCAACATAATGTATGTACGGCAGTTGATTAACAGTTTAGCATAGTCTATTCTGACTGAATTAATGTTACACTGATTCAATATTGTATGAACAATCATAGCCAAAATATCAGCAATTCCAAGGGACCATATGTAGCATAGTATATATTATGTAACAAAGCAAATAACAAATATATAAACTGTATCATTTGATATTGAACTCTATGTAATAGACGGAAAGTCTAAATTATAAATGTTGGTATTAAAATGTAAATTACAATGAGTTAAACATGTCTATGGTTTGTCTATGGATTACCTTACTGCAATAACCTTGGCTTATTGATTTCTTAGTATTATACTAATAAATTATGTTAGAATATTTCTAATCAGAGATTAATAAAATATAATTTGCATTGTAAATTGCATGAGGACACTATCAGTAAACACAATTATGTTATGATGCATGTTTTAAATTATTCAAACTTTCATGAGACATTATACTAAACTGATATATAAACATGGCTAAACACTCATGTATATTCGTCCGGTGGCGGCACAGACTAGTTTCGAGCCCATCTGGTTGAGTGGTACTGGTATTATTTCACGGATGCGGCCCGTCGCTCACTGAGCGTCTCCAAACTATTCGGTGCCGCCACCAGATGAATATACGAGAGTGTTTAGCCGTGTTTATATATCAGGTACATGTTTTCTTTTTTCATAAACTTGTGTACTGATTAGACTCCAAAGGAATGATGTAGTAGAATGTAGTGTACTGAAAAATGTTTTAGAGCAAATAACTGATTACAATGTCATGATATGACTGCAGATGCAACTAATATCATAAATGAGAATGTTTAGATGGGTAGATGGATTTTTGTAAGAAGATATGTCTAAAACAGCTTAATGAATTTTGTTGAAATTTGGCTTAGATGTAAAGCTTAGTCTGGATGAACACATAGGCTACTAATTTAGTTTTTTTTTTAAGTTCCGTATGAATGAAGTCACTCTCAACAGCTAGTATAGCATAATTAGAAACACTTAATAGCTTGGCATCTACATAATAGGCATTTAATAATGCAATCTTAGCAAAACTTCCTACTTTTCCTACACATAATAAATTGGAGTGTCTTTATGTTATATAAAAATTGTATTTCATACAGATGATGTATTTATATTGCTGATAATTAAAAAAATTTAAATTATTGTCTTCATGTCTGTCCGCAATGCGTACGTTCGGGTAATCTCCGGTAGCGTCCAGTAAGAGTTGGACTGATTCTGACTGTATTTGCACGGGAAGGTAGTTGATGTACATGGGAATAGTATAGGCTATTTTTTTTCAATTCTGCCTTGAAGATGTAGAGGGTGACCACTAATTTGGAATAATAATGAGTGTCTAATCTCTTTTCTTGGGGATGTGCATTTTCTAGATTTAACTGCTTAAAGTTATGCTACAATTGATAAATCCTTTGATTACTTTGACGACGGAAGCGAGGGTCGGTACAATCCGCACGGTAATTCAACGTTTTGTCACGCATTTATTGATCAGGTTAACAACCCTTAAATAAATCGGTCTCGACATACTGACGGACGTTCGATGTTGGTACACATGTTTGATTGTTTGCCACCAACGATTTGTCAATATGACAAAATGAGAACGAATCTCAAAATGATTGGTAACCTCAATACGTTAGTACTATCCATTTTGGTATGATTTTTTCGTATGGAAGTTTACTTACGAGGTGCATTAAGTTAGTTGACGTTATCAAAAAAGGTTAGTATTGGAAGAAAATAACGTAGCCAGAATCATCAAATTGCTTAGAGTCGCAATCAAATAATCTTTTTAATTATCGTGGCACTGGCTGCTAAAAAAAACTTAATTATTAGGTTATGTGTTATTCCTGACTATGTTCTACATCTGTGCCAAATTCCAGCGATATCAATGTAGCCGTTTTGGAGATACCTTCTAATAAACATCCATCCATCCGTCCATGCAAAAAAGGGTAATCTTAACCCTTTCCCTGCTGCATCGACTTCGTGCAATAGACTTTTACTATATATATAGAACTGATGGTAATATCCAACTTCAATTTGCATGTCGAGTGCTCTCAGACCTAGCACACTCTATTGCCGACTGAGACTTGCCGGCCTCGTTTTCGACCTAAAGGGGGCGCTGCTATATTTTCACATTCACCTATTGTAAAATTATTATCAACTAGCTCTCGCCGGCGACTCACCTCTGGCGGATTTTTTTTTTATATCATAAGGTGGCAAACGAGCGAGCGGCCCCCTGAAATAGCGAAGTGACCGTTGCCCATAGACATACGCAATTGCATATGCGTTGCCTACCTTTAATCGACGGAGAAGAGGATGCACAGAAAGAAAATATTTTCCCATCACATGCATCCTATCATCCGGAAAGTCCACTTCCACTTCTCATCCTTTCCTTATAATAAAAGGGTCGGAAGGGAAAGAGGACTAAATTAGGCCTCCGGGACGCAAGCTCATCAGACGAAACGCGGAATTGCTTCCACTTCACGCCTATTCAGGCGTTGTTCTATATGTTTCAGTTATATGTTCTATATGTTCAATTCAGGCTGTGTTCTATATGTTTGTCGAATTTCATCAAGATCCATTGAGCCGTTCTGTAGATAAGTTCTAACAAACATCTATCTATCCATTTAAACTTACGCATTTGTAATATTAGTAAGATTTCAACGTAAATGGTGGTTAATTTGTGTTGACCAAAGGGAGTTTATTGGTGACATGCAGATTAAAAAATATAGTACTCTATAATTTGTGGTTTTTCCCCGAGTCATTGCATAGTCATTTATGGTATTTATGAATTTGGATTGCAGGTTTGATATGTTTACAATACGTTTTTACCTTTTTTATGTCAAAGTAACATCGAAAGTGTTTCCAACTAGAATTAAGAGTTATTTTTTTTTGTCAACAGTTGGTACTTCGGCGGTCTGTCCAGAGCGGAGGCCACGAAGTTACTGTTGAATGAAACAGAGAGTGGAGTGTTCCTAGTGCGCGACTCCAAGACAATACACGGAGACTATGTGCTCTGTGTGAGGTGAGTAATGTATACATAGTCATGGACTACAGTCCAACAGTACATAATGTTTTTCCGCATACGTACTCTGAAAATTTGTCAAAAGGTCCTTTGATCTCATCGTTAGCACCTTGCTATAGTTAATTGAAATTCAAATATGATAAACCGTCATAAAATTTTTAAGCTATCAGAAGATTTTTTACTGCATAGATTTAAAGTCATAGAAATATTTTTAACTATCACAACCTATCCTCGGTATATTCGAACCGTTGGGAAATGAGAGCAAGATACCTGTATAAAACATATCGTCTCTCTCTTTATCTTTTATACTAGGATTTTGGTCTCAGAAACTAACACTAAGTAAGATTGATAGCTCAACTATGTGTGCAGGGAAGATGACCGTGTATCACACTACATAATAAACCACGTGGTATCGGCGGACGGCAGCACGAGGTTCCGTATCGGTGATCAGCTGTTTGCGGATATGCCGGCTCTGCTCGCGTTCTACCGGCTACATTACCTGGATACGACTCCGTTGGTGCGCCCGTTGCCGCAGGCCCGCGCACGCGCAGCTGCCCCGCCGCCTCCACAGCCCCACACAGTCTTAGAGCTTGTCATCGCCAAGTTTGACTTCGTCGGCAGTGTGAGTAACTTAGTATTAGAACAAATAAGTTAGGCTTTGCAGATTACTTTTGTTATACAGATGCTAGGGTTGTCATGTAGGTTTTTAAGGTCAAAAATGTCTTGTGAAACTAAATGTTTTCAATTTTTTTTACGTTTTCTTATCAGAGAACAAACAGTTTACCATAGATTAGTTATATCTTTCCCTTTCTCTCTGTTAGCCCCGTTTAATGTAACAAGCTTGAAGATACAGCATAGTTGTGTTGTGTTGAGTTGCAACATTATGCAAGCGCGCTCGCCCACGCGCCGCGTCACCGCATGCCAGCGGATATGTTTGATAAAAACATATTTATTTATATATATCACAGCTCTTTCACTTACTTTCATATCAAATTAATTGCTAAATGATCATAAGAGGTAGTTGTAGAAATAATACAAAATATACTCGAACCTTGATAAACGAGAATCCAAGGGAACGCGATAAATTTGTTCTGTAGCAGCTTCTCCCTTAACCCGGTTCGACTGCACATAATTGTAAAAGAGCTAGGAACTATACGTCTATTTATCTATGACTACATGAATATTGGTCTATCCAAGATGGCTTTTTTTAATGTCATGAATATTTTTTCGTGTTATCATTTCCATAAATATTGGTTATTCGATTTTAATATTTATGTTTTTTCTTTTTAATTTATCATGAATATTTGGCCGTTTTATTTTGTCTGCTGACAGTTTTTTTTAGATACTAGCTGTCGACCGCGATTCCGTTCGCGCGAAATTAAAAAAAAAACTATTGGTCGCAGCGTAATGTTATATAGCCTAAAGCATTCCTCTATAAATGAACTATCCGACAAAAAAAAAATTAAATCGGATCAGTAGTTCCTGAGATTAGCGCCTTTAAACAAACAAACAAACTCTTCCGCTTTATAATGTTAGTATAGATTTTTCATTCCCTGATGAAAGGCAATTTGAAGGTTAAGTTTTTCTTCCTTCTAATAACTAGTTAAAAATCTCTTAGCAAAAATATTTTCTGTATTGTTTATCTGAAATTGTTTTATGATTAACCTAGACTTGTTTGACTGTACAGTTAATTCTCGCGGTTATTTTTATAATATAACGGACACGCCGCACTATTTAGTCATAAGTCTGGGTACAGTCAGCGGCTGATAAAATGTGGCGCTAGTGTAGCATTTGCGTAAAGATGTGAATCAAGTTAGGGTTGTCAATAATAAATATTATTTATTTATTTATTTAATTGACTTATAATGGTGATTAAAGATCTGGTTTTGTCAACATAGCGTGACAAAACATCAACACTAGATGTCACTTGCGACTCCGCCCGCGCGGAATTAAAAAAAAAAACTTTGTAGCCTAAGTGTTCTCCAAGGTTATGTTCTACGTCTATGTCAAATTTGAGTGAGATTTATGCAGCCGTTATGAAGATACGTTCAAACAAACATCCATCTAAACATTTGCCTTTATAATATTAGTAAGACGTAGAAGGGCAGAAATTATATTTTTCCTTTCATATATTCTTTCTTATTCTTTTTTAAATCATCTTAAATACTAGATTTTCCTATTTACTAAGTTTAGTTTTTCCTGACTGTATAGCACGTGTGCTTTTGCCTCGTCTAAATATAAACATAAAACGCCTTGTTTATGGCCGCGATGTCTGGCGATGGTCGATGCCCGATCTTGTTGTTATTTAGGCCGCGCCATTTTTAAAATGGCTGTCACGCAGGTCATCTGTAGCCAGAAAATCCTTTGGATGTAGGTCGATTGGTTTTTAATACATTGACATATACAAGATTAGAGACAGATTTGTATGTTCGTTGTACGTTCACTAAAATCTTACTAATAATAATATTATAAATGCGAAAGTTTAGATGGATGGATGGGTGGATGTTTGAAGGTATCTCCAGAACGGATGTATGGATCACGCTGAAATTTGGCATAGACGTAGAACATATAAGCTTATTCAGATTTTATTTAAAACCGCGCGGATAGAGTCGCGTGCGACTGCTAGCAATGAAATGTTTTGTGACCCTAGAATTTATCTAATCACTCGGAAGTTGAAAAAAACACGCCATATTGAATGCCTTTAAACTGTTTTTTGATATTTATACATCCATACACATTTATCCATCAAAATTCTTTTAAATATCTAAAGTCTAGATGACATTTGTATTCATCATCATCAGCTCACTATACGTCCCCACCGAGGAACTTGTAGCCTACCCTAATTTTCAGAGTCAATTAGGCCATAGTCAACCTCGCTGGCCAAGTACGGGTTGGATGACTTTACACATATCTTTAAATTTCTTATAGATATGTGCAGCATCACGATGTTTTCCTTCACCGTAAGAACCTCGGATAAATGTACATATGTAAATCGGAAATTGAAAACACATTGGTACATGGTGGGATTCGAAACCAAAATCTGCAGATTGCAAGTTAAGTGCTTGACCACTGAGCCACCGACGCTCCTATTACATTTGTATAGTCATCTTAATTGTTTCGTCTTAATAATAATTAAAGGGAAATTAATTTTATATTCTTGGAACGTTGATTTACGTCAAATAATTTGTAATGTTTTGGTTTTTAATTGGAATTGAAAAGGGAAAAATGTTTTTATATTATATGTGGTCACGTCTAATAGAGATATCTGCACATAGATTTTAGGTCACGAATAATGCAGCATTGTGGAGTATTCGATTTCTTTTTAGCCGATTTAAAAAAGAAGGAGGTTGTCAATTCGTCTATGCTTTTTTATGTATGCGTAACTCCGTCCCTTGTGCTCCGATTTTGATGTTTTTTTGATTGATAGATTTTGCTTGCAGGTGCGTCCCATTTTTTATTAATTTATAAACTGACAAAAAGTTTAGTAGATTTTGAGTTTAAGTTGAAAATGCATTACGAAAGTTTAGGATTGTTTTGCTTTCTTCGTTTACGTAGGGTATACTATAGGACCTACGTAAAAATGATGTATGAACAAATTGTAGCTCTTTCAAGTCCGCGATAGCATATATCTGTTATAGTTTTTTTTCACAATTACCACTTTTTTTTGGTTAATTTCTCTTTGTATCAACTAGCTAATGAACAATTTACATATTGTGACTTACGTAAAGGAAGGTTTGTTCAGAGTTACAGCATCGTAAAACATCAGAGAACTATCGCTTGGTAACTGCGTACAATGTGTGCCATTGTAAGGGTGAACATACACTTATTGTAATTATATTTTTTTACATTTGAAAAGTAGATAAAAAAAAGATTCGTTGGAATATAGTTTTTCTCCCTTCTTTTCAAATTTTATGTTGGCATCTACATATATAAAAGAAAGCCGTGTTAGTTACACTATTTATAACTCAAGAACGGCTTTAGCAATATGGTTGAAAATTGGTGAGGAGGTAGCTTAGAGCCAGGAGACGGACATAGGATACTATTTATTCATATTTTTCGAATCTATGCCTTGAAGTGCTGCTTTTTATTTAACTTATCTATATATTAAATATTTTTATATATCCACGCGAACGGAGTCGCGGACGATAGCTAGTAAACATATAAAAATATCTCATTGTTACATATATTAGTGTATTCTCTAAAAATATAATATCTATAAAGTGGAGGTGTTATTTAAATTGAATTAAAATATTATTCAAGCGCATTGGTGTATTACCAGCCTTATGTGCGATGGTGGATTTCAAAAGGCGATCAGTTTTTAATGTTTCATACAACTGGGTTTATAGTCTGATTTATATGTTTATTTACTTATTGAGAAACCGTTTAAAAACCGGTTTTCGATGGTCATTCATACAAATGTTGGTCATCGTTTTGTGTTGAAATCGGATTATTATATAAAATTGACTGTGGCCCAATCACCCTTAACTTAGGGTAGGCTCCAAGCCCCTCGGTGGGGACGTATAGTGAACTGATGATGATATAAAATTACGTTGAAAAAAAATCAAACTTAAACCGTGGGTTTTCACTGTCGAAAAGTCTTTGTATCTTTTAAATTCGACAGTAAAACGGTTAGGGACTTTTAAAAAATTGTCACCAACGCGAACCGGTCGAAACGAACCTGAGTGGATATGCGATATGCACTTGCCATAATTTTTTTTTCTGCATCTTAGCTAGGATTACAGTATGAAGCGTGGTGGTTAAAGTTTTGGTTGTGTTCCTTAGGACGCGGATGATCTGCCGTTCCGGCGTGGAGAGCGGCTGATGGTGATCAACCGGGACGAGGAGCAGTGGTGGACGGCGCGTAACGCACACGGCCGCACCGGCTCCATACCAGTGCCTTATGTGCAGAGGGTCAGATATACTATGTACTAGTTGATAGAATATGTCTTAAACATGTCTATTTAGTGATTTGTGACGTCAGACATGTGGCTTTTTTCTAAGTAAAATACTCTGTTTTTAATGTTGGCTCCTGAACTAGGTTGCTCTAGTTCAGGAGCTAAGGCTCTAACCCAGTAGTTATAATAAGTGTCACAATAATGCTTTTATTATTATGAAGTTATTTTCTACTTTGGGTTGCCATCTTATATCGCAAGTTGGTGACTATCCTAGTAACTTTTGTTCTGTTCTGTTTCTTGTTTATGGCTCTCCCTCATCGGATTGGGCCAATGTCAAGTGTTTATGGCTCGGTTTAAACTTGTTAGAGACTGACAACTCTGCTTGTAGAGAAGTCTTGTGAATAAACAAGTGAACCAAAGAATAAAACTATTGAATTACCTGAAACTGTTGATTTACCTAAAAGGACAGACACAAACATTTAAATATTGTTAGTAGGTTATAAGACGTACAACTTAGTAACTTTCGATTCGTCATCATAACTAATAAATGTGTAATCTTATTAAACCACTAATGATGTTTTGATTGTTTATATAATTTCAGATCTTAGATCCATCTGGTGTGCCGTACCCACCGTCGGAGGCGCTGAGCCAGCTCGGCGACCCGCCCAGTCCGCCCGGCAACAGGCATCCCCAGCAACGCACCAATATGCAGGTTGGCATTTATCTCCCGACTATTCATCGAACATTATAACAATTTAAAAAACTAAATTAGTAGTCTATGTGTTATTTCAGACTATTTTCTAAATGTATGCCAAATTTCATCAAGTTCCGTTGAGCCGTTCTGGAGATACCTTCTAACAAACATCCATCTAAACCAGTGGTTCTCAAACTTATTTTGTCTACTGCCCACTTTGAGAATAAATATTTTTAGCGCCCCCATATTTTCACATATTTAAAAATCACTATAACTTCATATTATTTAATTATTGTGACCTATATTTGTATATTAACGGAGAATTGTAAAGGAAACTTTTACTATAACCCGCAACTTGAAACCTGCAGCGCCCACAAGGTGGCGTTATCACCCACTTTGGGAAAGACTGAAAACATTACGTAAACATTCGTATTTATAATATTAGTAAGATAGTCAACTTTAAATGTATTTTCCCGTTGCAATGTTATTTGAATGTGTTTATTGTGCACGTTGCAGCGAGCGTTGCCAGCTCTGGCGCGCGTGCGACAGACGCGAGTACCCAACGCGTACGACAAGACTGCGCTCAAACTGGAGGAGGGGGACATTGTAAAGGTCTGCCTGCACTTACTTCACCTCTCATTTTATTTATTTCTTCCTAAATAACTCGAAATATATAACTAATTTGTTTACTTTTAAGTGTCGAATAAGATATGTGCATTTACCATTTTAAAATTGTGTTTGTGTTCCTAATTTTCCTAAGATACCTTTTAACAAATATCCATCCATCCATCCATACATTCAAACATTCTCATTTATGTTATTATTAGTAAAAAAGTATATCTATGCCTCTTATTTTAAGTAAATCTTGTCAAATATGATTGTGTGATGTTTGCAGGTAACCAAAATGAACATCAACGGACAATGGGAAGGCGAACTGAACGGCAAAATCGGCCATTTCCCCTTCACTTACGTGGAATTTCTTGATGACAACACCGCCAGCTAAGGGAAAGTAATCACAGTAATTTATAACAAACGATGTGTTTGTGATACTGGCAACACTATTGTTTCTGTCATGCGAACTGACAGCTTGATCTGTGCAATTTGACATTTGAACGCTGTTTAGTCTATGACAGATGTCGTGTTAATCTGTGGACGTGTCATTGTGACAGTTTGCCCACCGATCGCTTGGGCTATGTTATTCGTAATACGCTGTTTTATTGCTTCTACTTTGGTAAATATATTTTTTTAATTATGTTATACGACGGATCCTCGTAGTTATAAGATACGCACATTTTTTAATCTGTCATTCGCGTATTTTTTTTTTAAATTGAATCATACGCAAATGGCTTTTTTTTAACCTGTAACAATTTTGGTGTTTTATTTATCATATGCCTTTAAAAATCATTTTTTAACATTTTAATATTTTTTTGCATATGGCAACTCATATCGGGCTCGAAGGATCAAAAAATTATTAAGCGCTAGTGGAATCGCGCCTTAATTTCCAAAATAATAAGGAATTGATATAATACATCGAAAAATTATAACTTTTTAAAGATGTTTTTTTTTGTACTTTAAATTGGAAATTAAGTACATAATTATTTCACTATGTATTATATATTTCCACAATACATAAGTTATATAGGAATTTGATTACTGTTTAAACCATTTATATATTTGTACGCAGAACTAATTTTATTATTGCAAACTGATACAAAGATATTATTTAATTATACGAAAAAAACATTTGGCCGGACATTTTTTTTTGTTTGTTAAATTAAAAAAAAAACAATATATTAATTTTAATTATAGTTAAATTTAACAAAACTAACAAATAAAAAAAAAACATATTTTGGATTATTTGCATGATAAAATGTATATACTATAATTAAGCAATTGCTTAAAATAATTTTACAAATTATGGTTATATTTTTTATTTTTATTTGGGGCAAATGCAATTGCAATTTGCAAAATTTATATTTTATATTGAAATATATTGATTGCTTTTTATTTATTTTGTATGTTTTCGAAGTTTTTTTTTTCTATAACACATCTACGTTTTATGTTTCTTTTTCTGTAAATCTTTTTCTATAAAGTTTTAATTTCTTTTTGCTGTTTTTTTTCGAAAATATACTTTGTAGTTAACACTTTCAAATTATGATAGTCAATATAAAGTTATTTGTTGAAGTAAAAAACTATTTACTTTGTATTTACAGGCTAAGTTTATATATATTTTTAAACTGACTAATATCGTAAAAAGTTAAAACGCCAATAGCTCATTGGTTGAAGTCCGGCCACTGACCGTGTACCGGGTTCGATTTCTTTCAATAATCATTCTTTTAAAAGTTTTTAACTTGAATAATAACAAAATCAATACAATACAATACTTAATTAAGTTGTTTAACTGATTTTTTTTTCTTTTAAAAATTGACAATGTCAACTAACTAGAAGTTTTCATTGTTTAAATACTTGTATAAAAACATGTTTTTTTCAGATTTTTTTTCAAATGATATGAGAGGGATTATCTTTTGTACGACTATTTTGATTGAGAGATGAAAATCTTTTATAATATTGGTCTGTAATTGAAATTATTATTTTTATTTGGGAATCATATAGAGTGGTTTTTACCACAAAATGTATAAATTATATTAAAATATATTTTGAGATTATCAAACATTTTTGTATGTATTTTTAATTGGCGTAAATCGGATGGATTAATCTTATTTTTTTTTAAGCTATATGTAACAGTTTAGTAATAATAAATTTTAGGAAGAATTAATTATGTGTTTTTTTTCTATGTTATAAATCTATAATTTTTAATATGTTAAACGGATCGGATGTCGTCGACTACGTTCTTCCAGACTATGTTCTACATCTATATCAAATTGCAGCGAGGTCTTCATTGTGGAGATATCTTCAAACATCCATTTGCATTTATTTATCATATTTTTAATATAGTACATTTCATATCAAAAAAAAACAAATATACAAAACATATTATATTAAAAAGAGAACACCACCGGCTGCGGAATCCCATGACTCAAACAACCAGTGGTGAGGGAGAGACAGGAACCTTCTCACGATGCGCGCGGTTTCTAGGATAACTGCCTTTTGTATCGGGCCTTTAATCCAACTGTTTAGCAAAAGCTTCTTGAGATGTTAGTCGAAACTCTTCGCTATCGCTATCGTAGTCGATCTCATTCGCCACATAGCGGCAACCTCGTGAGCCAAATCTAGGTATTTTCATCATTTATAATATTAGTAAGATTTTTATAAAAAAAAAAACAGATTTATGTCAAATATTTAATTTATATGAAAACAGTTTTACAATGTTTCTTTTTTAAACAATAAATAGATAATAATGAATAATATCATTTTAATAAGATTGACGGAATAAATATATTTTTTGCTTTACGTTTTTTTTTATTTTTGGTATTTACAAAATTATATACAATCAAATGTCCCAATTTCTAGCCTCTGCGCTAAATTCTAATATAAAAATTTATATAATAAACGTAAAATTAGTACATAAACTTTGTACATTATTTACATATATTATTGGATATTACTATGTCGAAAGAAATTCAGAAAAGGCTTTTTAAGGGACATTTTTAACAGCGCGAATAAAATTTTTATATACATAATATTAAACACAATATTTATTAATTTATTAAGAAAATGTTATAAATATTATTCTAATAAATATTTAAATAATTTATGAATACTGGCAGAATATTAAGAGGCCATTAAACATTAAATATAATAACAAGATTTATTAAAATTGATAAATAAAACTTGGCACTGTATGGTATAGGAAGCATCTATTCAGCTATATAAATTAATTTTTATTAACATAACTATGGTTTTTATTATTTGAAACTGTACGTCACAAATACCTTTGACAATTTAGAAAAAAAACGTTCCAAATTTAAATTAATATAGTCGGTTACAAATGACTTAATTCTAAGGAATGTGGTTCACGGTTGTATGGACATAGGAGTAATAAAGACTCATCCAAAGAAAAGGGTTGCATATACACATGTAACTCTTTTCGTCGGATGAAATACTTACAAATATATACCGAAAACTTTAAAGGACACTTACTAGGGGCTTATAACTAATACGGTAAAGTTATTTTGAAAAATTACGGGTGTAAAATTTTAGAATATTCGAATCTTATACATTTCGTTATAAAACATATCTTAATGAAATTTTTGTCTTTTATAACCGATTAAGACAATCACGAAATGTGACTAAAAAAAAAACAAAAAAATATTTTGGTAATAGACGTCGGAAATATCCTAATGAGAAAAACAATTGTATGAAGTTTTAATTCTTATGAATTCCAGTGATGAAACATACAAAAACATAGTCATCTCTTTCTTTCACATTAATAAAACAGAGATAACAATATGTTTGAGTATATTGTTACGACACAGGAATTCCAATACTAACCTCTATAAATGGATAGGCTATTGTTTGGAAATTACAACTTTTGTTTCTTTCCAATTAAACACCGTCTGTTATGTGCGAATCCTCATCACCGTTACAAACTTCTACTGATGGCGCCAAAATGGCGAATATCGAATAAGCACAAAATATCGCGTCTTATAGCCATACCATTTATAGAGGCTAGTGAACTCCGTGGATTTACTTACAATTATATTCAGAGAAAATTGGATAAGTCTTTGTATATTATATTGTCTTTCGGATTAGTTGGGACCCCATAAAAATTGAATTATAGAAAATCGATATTTTAAATATACAGATCAATTAAAAATGTGCCATGACGATTTGACAGATAAAACATAAAAATTATAATTCGCTAGAGTTACTTTTTGAATTGCAGTTTCTTTTGATCCAAACATTAACAAATTCTCTCTCATTGCTATAAGTTCTATGCTAAATATACGATTAAAAAGGCAAGGAAAGGATAAAGTTTTTTCATAAACTGTATTTAAATTCCGTTATATCAATTCTTTGTTCAATTTTAATTAATTTTATTTGGTGATTTGTTTAATTATTTATTTTCAATAATAAACTATAGTTTACATTAATTGTATTTGTTACATATTACTAAATATATAATTTAGTGGCCCATCCACAATATACTATTATAACTACGATTCTACAGCTTTACAAATCTCACTTTTAACTGTGGAACGCACAGTTTTCATTGCTAATATTACTGTGCCTAGTCTTGTCGTATGGTCGAATACTTTTTTTTTATTAAATTCTCCAAAAAGGCTAAGGTTATATAGGAAATAAAAAACAAACTTGAGCATCGTTAATGTGTCAGACAACGGTGTAATACAAAAATCGACTTAATTTAAACGAGCACCGGTTTGCGCTTGCGTTTTTTTCTGTGACGTCTCTTTTGACAGTGACATTTATTATCTGCAACTTGGTTGTAACCGTTATATCGTTGTCCGTTACATTTGACGTATGTGTGGTCGCCGCCATCTTGTGTGACGTCACAGCGCGCTGCGCACTCGCCGGTGCTTTGCGCGGCAGGTGCTATAACCGCTTGAAGGCGGGCGGCATCGCAGCCGGCTGATGGAAGGGGTGGTACTGGCGAGCTATGATGTCGCCCTATAACAGCCCAAGTATTAACCTATACATTCATTAATAAGTAAGGTTAGCGCACACTCATCCTACACCAAGTTACTACATTCCATGCATTTAAACTACTGCCACACTCAAGACTTTATAATTAATTAAGCATTCATTTAGTCGACGCTAAAGGAAGGCTTAGTGTAGCCGTTAGTATTAGATAAAAGCGTATTAACAAGGAAAGAAGATATCTATTATAAAAAGATTACTTTTAGAATGAAATACTTCCGTAAGTGGAAAGTTAAATTTAATGTTATTTAAATTTAGATGATCACACTTACATATCTCAGATTGTACGCAAGGGAGAGGGGTAATGTTGATTGTTATAACATTTGTTAAAACGATATAATAGTTTGTGAAACAATTGTGAATACTTACAACTTGTGCTTGTTGATTGTGCGCTTGCTTTAAATTTCTTTCTTGTATCATCAATTGATGCGCGGCTCTGTACCATAAAATAATTCTTATCAACAAAACTTTACATCATTGTATCTCAATTAAATATATTGTATACACCAGAACTTCTCGTTAGTTTAAAGTTTTTCACGAATACAAGAAATTTGACTACATCGCATATGCCCTTTGGATTCAGTAATACTACAGCGAGTAACCAAGCCATTGCATTTAACAACGTTCATGCTATATTTTATATTATTGTCTCCAACGATTTATAAAAATCTTTTATACTAGATGTGTTACATTTTTCCGTCCAATTATCCGAGAAATATAATTTAATATTTATTATCTCCCTACCTGTCCATTTGCTCCTGTGTCATTTCTAGTGCCTCTTGCATCTCTCTCGATGTATTCCTAACGAACTCCGGGTCGCAGTACGCGGCCAGGCCTTGCTCTGCTAGTACCTATAAATACAATTATAAATAAATATAAAAAACGTGTACATACTTAATTTTTTAAATTACAAAATATATTTAATGTTGCACGATTGCTAAAAGACTAAAAGAGTCAAAACTATGAAATAATTCACCCTGGTGACGAGGCTTTCTGCAGACCCCACAACGGGCACGGAGGCGCTGTTCCCGCGCGGGCTGCCGGGCAGGGACACCACGCCGCGCACGCAGTTATCTCCCCCTAGTACATAAATTTACGTTATGACATTTAAACTAACTAAACATAGTAAAGCAAATAGGTGTTGCCATATAAATTATTTGATATCGAATCATATCGTTAAGAAGTATCTTTTAGCAATTTTACAGGTGCTATGGTATTAATTTCCAGTAATATTTCCACAATTCAAGGGTTTACAAGATTATTAATATATCAAAACTAAATATGTCATCTATCTAATTTAGCTCGCTAACTCTAATTGACTTTATACTTTTATAAGCTTAGGCTTTATTTATAAGCACATTTCCTTGTGTAATTATAAACATGATTTATGACAACTATGTATTCTTCTATTTTTTTTTAATGTTTTCTAAATTTGAATTGCTTGATTTCTACTAACTTTTAAGCAGAAAACTAAATCGGTCAGTGTTCTTGTGATTTTCGTTTTATGATTTTATCTTTCGTGCATTAAAAGCATAAATTATTTCAGTTTTATTTTATTTTTCTCTAAAAGCCTTCTATTCTATACTAATTGCAAATCTATTTAGCTGTCAGTGAAACCATGCTTCTTGTTAGTTGATGGATATTTGTTAAATAATGTTATAGTTAACATTTTAATAATTCGATGAGTAATAAAGGTTTTAATATGTTTGTTTTTCTATCAATTTGTGCAAAGTGAATATATTCTGTGTATGATTATGAGCTTTTTAAAAGCAAATGTGATCGTGACTTAATTTTTTTTGTACTTTATTACTTTCAGTGTACGCTTTGTAAGCTGGAATTATATGTGATCTTTTGGTGAACGGTTAAGGAAGTTTCTTTCGAGTATTAAGATATAAGTTTTAAAAAATGACTTATTTTGTATCACAACTTACTTTACAATCAAAGTTATCAACCTTGACAGACAAAAATACAATTAATCATTACACGTTTGGTTTTTATGGTGAAAAATTAACACTGTTTTATAAAATATAAAGTGAGAATCAACATTTACAAATTAAAAGTTCTAAATACTGAATTTATAATTTACTGATATTTTAATAAATAATTGATCTATTAAAAAACTAAACTATTATTATCATCATCGATTCAAAATCCAAAAGTGATAGTTGAAAATTAAATTGAAACAAAATTGTATAGAAAGGGTCAAGGCGACACAACAGTGACATGGAAACTTCGTCAACCGCGTGGTGCGGACCTGGCGAGCGCGGCTGATCTACTTTGCGGGCGGGTGCATGCGTGGCCGCGCCCGAGGACGCGCTGCGCACCATCCGACCTGCCGGGCGCACGCGCACGCTCCGCCGTTCGCGCGCCCTCTCCCGCGCGTGCGAGAACGCAAATGGCAGCTTCGCGGCCGCGTTGTAGCCGTACAGCGTCATCGTCTGCGCCTCCGTCGTCGGCGTGCACTCGCTCGCCAATAACGGCGATATCTTCGGCTGGATCGCCTCCGCCATTGGTGATGGTGATTTGTCCTCAGGCGACGCTTTCTTCGGTATCGCCAACATTTCCTTTGACGACGAATCTTCTGGATGAATCTTTTGACGCGAAACAACATTCGGTTTGCTCGACGTGTCCGGCGTTGATAGGTAATTCACGCAACCGAAGGCTAAACCGATTTGTCCGAGCATTTCAGGATAGTTAGATTTCTGATTGCTGTTACATACCGTGATCCAAGTGAAAGCAAAACAAAAGTAAAGGTGTTTTGTTAGTTTGGTTAGTAGTTAGTGCTTGTGATGAAGGGGTTCGAAGAAAGGTAAATGAAAAGATCACTCTAGACAGAATCACACGTTTCACTACCTTTATAAATAGCGTTCTTTAGATCGTTTGTTGTTCTTCTGCAATATAAGCAATGCTAGTTTAGAATATATCCAGTTAATAATAATATAAATTGCGTTGATAATGGATGACATGAATACGTAGTTATATTTAAGGCATACTTACTCAAGCACCTGGTATATTTTTTCTGATTCCCCATTTAATATTAGCGGTCTCAGTGGTATCTGTTCTTTTGGTTGTCCGTTAGCTCTGTTGATGTAAATATGCAATGAATTCTCTTCGTATAATGAAATCTTTTTATATAGTAAACATATAGTTACATCAACTTACAAATTTGGTGCAAGAGGCAACGGTCCTACTCCATATTCCTTCTGCATCATTGAACTTAGATGATTACCAACGGCTTCTGAAAATATTTTTGCAGTTGATATCAAAGTCTTATGATATAAGTAAGTTAATTCATTCAAATAATCCTACCTGTTGTTCCCTCTCCTGGTTTCCGATGTCGATTGAAATGTTTATTTGGTCCATGTCTTCGTATACTTGACCACACTCCACCGAATAAAGAATGATTTCTCTAAAATCAATAAAATACCATATTATTTACATTATTCCATTAATGGTACTAATATTTTAAATGTGAATGTTTAGGTGGATGGATGGAAGGATATTTCTTTAAAAGTATCTCCAGTACGGCTCAATGGATTATGATGACATTTGGCATAGATGTAGAACATAGTCTGGTAGAAACGCAGGCTATTAATATTTTTTTAAATTCCGCGTGGACGGAATCGCGAGCAACAGCTGCTTTTGGAAAAAATGGGAATAAGTATTTGATACAGTTACTTTACGTATAAAATGCTATTTATTGATTCAATTAAATCTTGGTTCTAGTTGTGAGTAGCTTGATTACTATTGTCTAAAACAAAATAACACGCGAAAAGGATTTTACTATAGTCCAATTCAACTTATATCTTACTCTATGCATAGGCACATCTGTATCTGCTGTGATGTCATCCAAGTTTCCGGAGATGGCGCGCTTGAGCTCCGGTCCAGCTTCGTGCAGCGTGCGCAGTCCCGCTTGCAGCGTCATCTGGTGATTCTGCTCGTCACTCTGACGCATCTCTTGCTCCTTTCGCTTTTTGAACCTTCCAATCAACAGAACATTTGCAATTCGCTCCCATATTACTATCGAGAGTAGGACTTGGATTCTATTTGGCGTGGTCTTTATATTTTTGTGAGTCTTACTTACTTGGCTTCCTTGTAAGCTCGTATCAACTACTTTTAAAATCTATTTGATATAAAATTTTTAGAATCTAAAATGTTCGCTGGACAAATCTAAATGTTATTTTTTTACCAATTCTGTAACGTCTTCTTTGAGGTTATGTGTACTCTTTTTTTTAAATCTAAATATAAAAAAACTAAAGCCTAAACCGTGATTATTGTTTATATTCGTTTCTAAAACTAAATAAAAAGGGGCAAAAGAACACAAATATGTCGTGTGTAATTAGGAAAGGAAAAAAAATCAAATATAATTTCGCATGCTCGATTCGTTAAATTAGGCCGTGTTTGTGGCAAGGGTACATTAAATTATTTAAATAGAAATAGAAATTAAATTTCATAATCAAGGAACATGCGGGAATTAACCCAAATATAATAATGATAAATAAAATAGGAAAAAAATCGCCTAACTTGTTGTTTCTAATGTGTTTGCTATTTTGAATTCGGTACTTGTGTTTAAAGCCTCTACACACTAGAGATTTTCAATCGCCCGATAGTTTAATCGTGCCTTAAATCAGTATGAGCCTGTATGGTGCGTACATTACATCAATTACATGATTTACTGATAAACACACGATCAAACTATCGCGCGACTAAGTCTCTAGTGTATTTCGGCTTTTAAAATGATTTGCGTTGATTCAAAACTCTAAAGGGGGCAAAAATATCCTAAACACGTACATTTCTTTACTGATGTTACTTACGCGTGATTCCTATGGAACAAAAATTATAAAATCAGTTTTAAATCTAATTTTAATACATATATTAGAATCTTTGTTATTGCTACTTGTCAATTGATTATAAATCCTTATTTCTATAATTATATATAGTTTTAAATCTATGATATAAAATAAAATATAAAAAAAAAACGAATAATTAACTAAAATATGTTATCAAAAGGAGTCCCTTTAGGCAAGGTCCCGAAGATACTGGCAGCGTTCCCCCTCTGATCTTTGTTAGTTACATTTTAGCTATCTCTAAGAAATTTACCGTATTATGTATAATTTTAGTGAGGTATACGTTGTGATCCTTTTAATTAACATTTTGAAGAATGTTGAACTATGGTTTTGCCGATTTATTGAATATACCATTTTATTACATTTTTTTTTCGACCAATAATAATATGCTCTTTGATCTCTAACATATAGTTTTCAACATTAATGTTGACTGCAATAATATTTATCATCAGTGTTTTTATAACCATATTAACATTATGGTTGGTTTCTGAGACAAAAATATCTGTATAAAAAGTATAGTCATCCCTCTTAATAACCTTTACAGTACAGAGTTAACGATATGTTTTTAAGGGGGATTTTGGTCTCAAAAACCCACGAGTGTCACAAACTTAGCCTGTATCTTCACTGTAGTTAATAGGTACGTCAATTTCGTAAAGGTATTGAATTGGTCAAGTCATAAGTCTTGGTTAATTTTTTTATACCATAAATAGAAAAAATAGTAAGTAGTAAAAGACTTCATCAGCTATACGTCCCATTAGAGGGGCTCGGAGCCTACCCTAAGTTAGGGGTGATTAGGTCATAGTGAACCACGCTGACACCACAAAGATTTGAAATTTTCACCTTATATAACTTTTAAATAAAATTTTAATATCTAATCCGTCATAATGAAAGACCGGCGTACCTTCTGAAATAATCCTGTATAAGGAATGTGGCGTAGAACTTGCCGACTGTAATTTCGTTTGGATCTCCGGGTGGAGGCACAACTTGGTCCAACAGCTTTGGAGATGTTCGCTTCCATATCTTCTTGATCACCGCCCTAAGCTCAGTGTTGCAATCATCGATATTACCTTAAATAAGTTAAAATTATATTAAAAATACCTTCAACTTTGGATTAGGTTTTTTCTACTAAGAGACTAACGCGCAACTGCTCTTTATGAGAGGAGATACGGCCAGTGGAAATGATACCTTTCATTGTTCAAAGTAAGAGCTCGGTGGAAATAGGTCTTAAGATTATCTGATGATACACAAAATTCACTTCTTTTTAATTTTTCAGTTATCTTCGCAAATAAGACTTTAGTCACAATAGAGTTTAACTAATAATTTAGTTAAGCTAAGTCTACTTTTTCATAGACACAATGTTCGAAATAATTTAAACGTGTTTAATTTTTATTGTGAACATTACCATCAGTTTTTATCTTGAGTGATGTCCGGACGACGGCAAAAAGGGTGGCATTGAAGAGCACAGTGCCATCCGAGTTTAGTGGCATGTTCATACTGACGAGACGTTTGCACGCAACACGATGCGGGCATAGCTTGCCGAAACCTGCACACATACATACGGAAACACTTACCGTGGGTGTCTGACATTAGAGTCTCCGTTTAAAACATCTTTGTTTTGTCAAAGATAATGACATGGATGATTGGTCTCAGAAACCCACGGTTAATATGACACGTCGTTATATCGTCCACAACGTAAGATGCTTGTATTGAACAATACAATATTACTTTTTACAGCAAATTAACAGTCACTTCGATGTCAATATAAACGATTTTGAATGTTCATCTACACTAAGAGAAACTTAACGTCTCTGAGTGTAAATGTAGATTAAGATATAAAGTCTCTTATACTTACCTAACGGTGGACTAATTTTTCTTAACAAAGTAACTACATCTAAATGTTTAATCCGACCCTTAGCGTCAGGGTCGTATTCACTCCATAACCTACAAATAAAATATGCAATATTAAATCAAAAAATTATAAAAATAAGAAACTATATTATATTATTAATATTTACCTTATAAATTCATCTAAGTGGTGTGGTCCCAATATTGACCAGTCTCTAGTTAAATAGTCGAAATTATCCATAATAACGGCAACGAACAGATTAATGATCTAAAAAGAAAAAAAAAATATAGTCGATGAGAAAACAGTTTATAAGCCAATGAATGGGAAAATGAATAATGCAAAGTATTCAAAAACCATATATAGGATAATATATTAAAGATTACGTACCAGAAATGAGCAAAGCACATAGAATGATATAAAGTATGGGAAGGCGAGCACAGAGCCGCACGTCCCCCCGCCCTCCTCACCCTCGTCCTCGTAGTTCTTGTCGCACTTCACCTCGGGTTCCGGGGACACGCCCATCATTATGTCCTGCCATGCCTCGCCTGACATACACAACAATTAAAAAGAATTGTAGATTATAATTCATATACATTAAAATCATTCTGTTCGTAAGTCTCGCTAAAACTCGCGAACGGCTGAAATGATTTATCTTATCTTGGTCTTGAAATTTTCGTGGAGGTCTACTGAAGGTTTAAAAGTTGAGAAAATTACGAATAGTTGCCAGAAAATCCTTTAGAAACCTTTTTTTTAATCTCTCAGACGGATTCGCGGGCGAAAGCTAGTTTATAATATTTGAAATTTACATTTTATAATATTTTTAGATTAAAAATTTACAATGAATCTCACTCACCGGTCGCAGAACGAAATAATACTAGGATGGCCTGCGGGAACGTTTGGAAATGATTGTTGCGAGTGATGGGAGTGTCGTCATCTATCGCTATCTTGCCGAATACCTGCAACGATACACTAATGAAAAATTTCTCAGCCTTTTTCATGAGTTTCACTTAGCTGTGGGCTTCCACTGCATCTTTTATACCACTTAAACAGAGTACTTTCACGAATGAAAACTTACGATATAGAATATTATTAAAATCAGACAAAGACTTTTAATAGTAATTTGGTTCCTAAGGTTTACCTGCATTCCAACAACGGCGTAAATGAAAAACAACATAAGTATCAACAGAGCGACGTATGGCAGTGCTTGAAAAGACTTGATAAATGTCCACAGCAGCGTGCGTATGCCTTCACCTCTTGACAATAACTTGACTAGTCTCATCACACGGAAGAGCCGGAAGAAGTTTATTGATGGTATCGAAGACTCCTGAAATATATGTCTTATAGTACACACACTACCGCCGTAGCTGGTGTTCTTACAACAATGTGCTGCTGGAAATCCCCTTCCCTATGTTCTATTTTCGTTTGATCCATGACTTGAATCGTGGTATGATTTAGGCAGTGCCGGACGCTAGAGTAGGGCGCGATTGGGTGATCGCCCAGGGCGCTCGATAGAAATGGACGCCACAAGTTTGTGAATAGGGTAAACCACCCCTCCTCCAAAGTCATGATACTAAAAGAGGGCGCTAGAAGAGTTAAGTCGGCCATAAGATGTAAGTTATGTCATGTACAAAACTTTGTACATTACTAAGATAGCAATGTTATTATTGCTGTTGTTTGATGATCCTGCATTTTTGCCTTCAACAGAACAAGATATGATATATAATTATGTAAAGATATTCGATCCTGGCTTTCAATCGCTTATTATCTCACTCAGTAAATTTATAGGTGCATATTCTTTTAAAGTTCATCGAGGCCTCATAAATGTGAATCTTGCTATAAAGGATTCTAATTAATCTTATATATAAAATTCTCGTGTCACAATTTTCGTTCCCATACTCCTCCGAAACGGCTTTACCGATTCTCATGAAATTTTGTGAGCATATTGAGTAGGTCTAAGACTCGGCCAACATCTATTTTTAAACCCGCGCGGACGGAGTCGCGGGCGACAGCTAGTAATATGTATAATTATTCATGAAGTGCTGTACTATGTCCTTTATAGCATCTATGTGTCGTGTCAATAAATTCTAAATGTATTGTGCTTGTTTGCTATTCGGTCCTAATAACTGTTGCGTTTGTTACTGTCCCAATTTGTTTGTACACCTAAAGCATTATGTTTAATATATGCTATACAACATTAAAAGCTTTAATATTTTATTTTCTTTATTGAAAAATAAGACTATAATCTATACTAACAGAATGTTCTAAATTTGAATTTTATTTGAAAAAGTTTTGATACCAAAAAGGTTTTATTCCTGCGTGTAAGCGTGCACTTACCTTAACAACATGTGCTCTTGGCAATCCACTACCCTGAAATAAATATTGCTCGCTTGAATTCCTTAGTGTTATAACACGTACAAATTATAAGTGCTCTAGCGTTAGTTATTACAACATCAATGACGTCCATGCTCGGGACAGTAACGATGCCGTCTTCATTTAGAAATTATGTACGAAGAAGTAAAAAAATTGTTCTAGCCTCACATTATTTCTAAGCTCTAGTGCTTTTATCTGAACTCAGTCTTTTAATAGTTAAAGGAGCCCCTTAGTGGAGGTAAATCGTAATTCTACATTCAGGGGTTATTTTAGTAACTAGACCGTGAGTGTGACAGTTAATTACATATTTTTTCTATGCTTCCATATGTTTTAAATGGATTTAGTATTTAGTTCTATGCAATTTTGACTAAAGTAACCTTTAAACGTATTTTGGATATTTTTTTCAAAAATTTCAGAGCAATTTCTAAATGAGACGGCATAATTGGTGTTTATCTATCAATTGAATTTACTCTATATCTATCAGTGTGTATTTACCTGGTTCTTGAGTTCATTTACTTGTGATACAACGATGTCAATGATACTGCCGAGGACAATGATAAAGTCGAATGTGTTCCACGCGTCGCCAAAGTAATTCTGAAATAACACTTTCAATAGTTAGCTTTTTAAAATTAGGCATCAGGTTTCTTTTTTTTTTAGTTCTAATCAGTTTTACCAACAGAGATTTTTCAAGCATTTAATGGCTTCGTAAGTTCATGTTTCATAATCATCCAGATTCGTAGATAAGGTCGTCAAAGTATGAGAGCATCGTCATCATTAATTTAAATGATAAATTACCTTAAACCTGAAGGCAGCCAGTTTGAATATAAATTCTAGCGCGAAGACAGCTGTGAACAACATATTGAGAAGATCCAAAGCCTTGCTGTACTCTGCTGACTGGTTGTGGTACTTCATTGCGAGGGTGATGGTGTTAATCATGATGAGCACAAAGATGGCGTATTCAAATGGCTGTGACGTCACAAACCACCACACCTTGTACTGAATGCGATGCTTCGGGATGTACCTGAAGGTAGAAATCTGTGTCTTTTAACTGTTCTTACTGCCTTGGTTTATAGTTAAAGTTATATTATAATAGGAACCATACCTTCTAATGGGTTTGGCTTTCAAAGCGAATTCTATGCAGTTTCTTTGGTTCTTGTCGAGTTCGCAGTTTTTGTATTCCTGCTCACCCTCGTTTTGGAATGTCACTATGACAAAACCGACGAATATGTTGACCTAAAATATTGTTATATTATGAGTACAAATAACATGTAACTAGAAATCACAAGAAAAAGTACTGGAATTTATTCAAGTACGATGTGGTTAAGTGGTCCACCTTAGTGTATTTTGAATATGCAAAATCAACACTACAAGATTCGCTCTTATATTCGCTCAATGAACTACACTAAGGGTGATATACTTACCATGAAGAAGGCAATAATAATAATATAAATAATATAATAGGCTGCAACAATTGGACGGAAGTTAGTTATGGGGCCACGGTCCTCCGCATTCGAATCTATTGACACGTACAACAATCTGCAAAATAAACATATATATAATACTAACAAGTAAAAAATATCTTCTTTAATATATTCACAAAAACAATATTATATAATGCATTATTTGGTTGGAAACAGGGTCGTATTAACCATTGTTACGCTGGCGCCCAATAAAGGGCGCCCGAACGCCACTAGTTAATACGGCCCTGGTTGTAATAAGAATAAATAGTGATAATATTTTACCCTGGCCATCCTTCAAATGTTGAAACGGTGAACAATGTAAGCATACCCTTCATTACATTGTCGAAATGAAAGTCATTCCGTCTCCATTCTCTATCTCTTACAACATAATTTCTATTCTCAAATACTAAATACGTCCCCCTGAAATAAAGAGATTTTTTTGCACAATAGTATAAGAGGACGCAATCTTACTAATATTATATTATAATATAAATACGAATATTTAGATGGGTGGGTGGATGGAAGGATGGATGTTTGAACATATCTCCAAAACGACTGAACGGATCTCGATGAAATATGGCATAAATAAAGAACATAGTGGAAGAACACATAGCCTACTAATTGTGTGTGTATTTTTTTTTAATTCCGCGCAAACGGACTCGCGGGCGTCAGCTAGTTGTCTTATTAATTTTAGATTTAATTAACACACATATAAATCCAATAAAATTATTTTATATTAATAATAAATTATAATACTTACTGACACTCCTCTTTAGTCATCTTAGAAATATCATTACATCTAAAAAATTTCCCCTGAAACAAATTCTTTTAAATTAGACATTTAATTTTAACATAAATAAAAGCAACAATTTATTTCCATGCACAAACAACAACATTACGTAACATACAAATGAAACCAATACAATACTATGTCTTACATCATTTTATAAGATTGTTACATCTCATTTCTCATGATGGAAAGCTTTACATAATGTACATAGCTATATACATCGATCGACACATAAGCAAATGTTACATACAGCTTTTATCTAAAACATATATCATGCATACTGTTATTTTTAACTACAATTAAAGTGAGATCTTCTAAAAATCTACGATTTTGTTTTATCTAATTGTTGGTTTCTACACCATACAGTTCGCAACCTTAAATATTATTCAATAATACGTTAAAGGTCGAGTTCTTTTATTCAGATATTTTTGACATACAGATCCTTTATTCTTCTTAATTTATATAATATTTTGTCATCATAAAAGATTTTACTGAGCATTTTATTTATTGATACCTATTGTTAAGAAGAAAAACCGACACTGATAGTGTACTGGCACATCACTAGCCTTACTAAAATGTCAACGTTTATGTCCCCTTACTAATCATTCTGACAATGGACTTTGTAACGAAACCATGTTATTCCCGCCAAAGGTCCTAATTAATAATGTCTAAAAGTATGAAAGTATATTTAGAAGATCCCACGTCCATGCAATGGAAGCCTCACCTTAAATAACTGTACACCGACGACAGCGAACATGAATTGTAATAAATAAGTAACTAGCATAATATTTCCTATAGTCTTAATGGCTACTATCACACATTTCACCACGTACTACGGTATTACAGAGATGTGCGAAGTCGCGCACGCACATACGTTACCAAAGGTAATCACGCCACAGATTTCAATGTCCGGTTACCGCGCAGCGTCGGAACATAGGGGACAAGCAAACAAGTTTAATACACAGGGCACGGGGCAGGTGGTCTGTTATATTATCTAAATATAGACAAGTTAGATCCAGGGTGGATTCTCTTAAACGCCAAGGTAGGGGGTATGGTTACTACTGTTGGTATATTAGTTAACTAATGTAATTAATGAACTGCTACACCTTTGGGTCCTTTAAGACATGCTCTAGTTTAGACAACATTAACAAACTAATCTTCTAAAAGGTTAATGTTTCTATTGACATGCCATACTCCTATATCTTTTATATAATCTGTAGCATATCGACAGTTTAAGAAAAGCATAGATAATATTGAAAGTTTAGATAAAGCTACATAAGTACCATATGAGCTTTAGCAATGGAGTTAGCACAAGAAATTAAAGCTTAACTGCAATAGGACAGCTTGAAATGCGGAAAAATAAAGATGAACAAAAACCATGAGAAATGAGTAAAGTAAAAGATAGGAAAGTAAGAAAAGATAGTAAAGAGATAGAGAAATAAACAATAAAGATATAATACCCAAAGGTGTAATTGAAATCGTAGAGAATAGGGATGTAGACAAGATATTCTTTGTGTCATATTGTTGGCACACGTGGTCAAATAGACAGATAGCATAGTGCTGTATTGCTCCTGAAATATAATACTGAAAGCGCCCCCTACCTTGAACATTTGAACTCCCATGACAGCAAACATGAACTGTAGTAATGACGTTACCAATAAAATGTTGCCGATCGTTTTGATGGCAACGATCACGCACTGAACAACGTGCTATAATCAGGGAAAATAATAGTTTAGGGCCTCACTTTTAATAAAGGATACTGTTTATAATAATATTAATCTAGAAGTCAGTTGATTTAATAAGGATCCTCGTATAAAGTTTATTATTTAAAGACGTATATGTTGTAGAGTTCAGATAATTCAGGATGGCGAGATCAAGGATTTGAGACTGACCTTAAGGCCCTTGGCCCTGTTGATGGCCCTAAGAGGCCTCAGCACCCTGAACACTCGCAAAATTTTCACTACAGATATACTGCCAGACCTGAAAAATATAGAGATTAGTACCACAACCATATTTAAATTAGATTTAAACTTATCTTTTAGTGCCGACCATAGTTTAAATACATTTATTAACCAAGTCACAATGTATCCTGAAATATTAAGAGGTCTGGGTACACTTGTTTTAAACACTCGTACAAAAACGTATTTCCATAACAAGTCATTAACTCCTTTTTAATCATGTTACCTTTCACGCAATCGAGTCATAATAAAGGTATAAATGCGAATATGATAAATGGCTTACTTAAAGCTCATAGAGATGAGGGAGACGCAGACGACGAGCATGTCCAGCACGTTGAAAGCGGAGCGCAGGAAGGCGCCAGGGTGCAGCACCAGCCCGTACGTCACCAGTTTGAGGAACAGCTCCAGCGTGAAGATGCCCGTAAAGAACATATCGAACTGGCTCAACAGCTAAAACGGTAATCATTTTTTCCATCAAAAATGAATGTCACTCTTATACTTGATTATTTTTTGGTATCATAATCTTAACCTCACTTTTCTTATCACAGAAAAATTTGATTTTCTAGAGATGTGTTAGAATTAGAAGCTTACGGATAGTTTTACTAACCCAATTCCTAAACCCCCTTTGGGCTGCATCCAATGGATCCTCCGCAGCCAACATGGCGGAGGAGAAGAGGATGCAGACAAGAATGATGTTCCCGAAGGTCGAGGATGCCGACAACTTGTAGCAGAGTACACGGAACCTAGTGTATAACAAGTAAATTATTTAAAAATGTACTCTAGAACGCGGACAATTTTCAATTGTGAGAAACTAAGACTTTACATTTACTTCAAATTTTTTAAAGGAAAGTTTTTCAGGTTCAGGGCTTTTCTTTTTCTAAGTATTTTAAAGTAAATGGGAGTTTTAATTGTAATATTAAAAAATGTAAAATATTTTTTTTCAAGTTCTTTTTACTTTACCTTGAAGCACCAACATAATTGGTTCATTACAACAGTTACTAAGTTACAAAAACAATTACACTCAGAAGAAAAAACGGCACAACGTTTTAAATTGTTTTTAATTTATTATCAATAATTAAAAAATTAAAAGCAAAAACAGTAAGCACACGAAGGCTGTAAAACATGAAAATGAAACAATTGCAAATCTTAAAACAGTGAAAAGCTCATGCAAGATAAGTTCTATAAAAAAAAATCTTCCTAAGAAAACTGCTTGACTAAAAACTATATCGACTAATAATATATATATTCATTTATTCATATATATTAATATATTCATTTTAAACGTCATGCTTCAACTGCCAACCCAAATTGTAAAAACAAACCTAACCTCTAAAACCATTTAAGGTACCCTTTAATCTCATTGTCATAGAATTTGGGTTCAGAACTAATCCACGTGCATTTGTACGTATAAAATTGAACAATACACACATAAATGTACATGGAAACAATTTGAATAAAATAGATCAATCGAGGCAACATATAATGACCAATGTTGACCAGCAAATACAATACGACCCCACTTTGTAATTTGACTAGGCAAAACGTAGACTCGGAAAATTTAATGCTAATGTGTAAAAGTAACATTTGCACTGCAATTTGCCGAGTATTTACACTTACGTAGGCAAATTAAATAAGGGGTGTTCACGTATTGGCGGTGACAGATACAATGAGAGACAGGTACCACTAAGCCACCAATCACCTGTTCGTCGGTGAGAATATGAAGAAACTACTAGCGTTCGGAATTGGCGGCGTCTGATTTGGCATATTCAGTTCTGAAACCCTCCGGGGTCTAGCTGTTACTAGTCTCCCTTCCTCTTCACACTGCTCCCCATCTTCATGATAGAAAAAGATGGCAATATCTCTTTAGTTTACTTCAAAATAACTAACATACCTTAAACTACTTAAGTCCTGTAATCAAAAGTTAGACCCTAAACATGCTCATTTAAATCTGTACCTTAGTATTTAACTAAATGTTCAACGAAGAAATCAATGCAAACATAAATAATAGTGAACGAAGCAAAGTTTTGTGAGAATAATTTTATATATAAATAAATTAAAAAAGAGAATAGCTGAAATTTAATAAATTAGAAACGAGTAAAATTATAGGCATAGAATTTGTCTTTGACGACGTATAATTTTGGAAAAAAGCTAAAAAAAAATGAAGAAATTTAAAACTGAAATTAATATATAAAGTAATCAGACTCCAAATCAAGCAAAGACGAGCCGTCAAAGACAATAAATATTAAAAATTGAAAAAAGAAACGAAGAGAAAACATCTAAATAAATAAAAGCCGCTGAAATTCCTCGTCTCCTCTCCCTAACCTGTTGGTTTTGGAAAATATGAAGAACGACGATGCGTCGGGTATAGGTTTCTTAGAGTCGCGAATATCGACTTCGGAGAGGCGACGCGGTCGCGCCGAAGATGTTGTCGGTTTACGTTTCAGTCGGGGCTCGTCATCGAACTCTGTGTTCACTGTTGTTTTGGTTAGCATCGTTTTATTATCATTGTATTAAATTAAAACTGCAGATTCAATTTCTTCACCAATAACTATAGAATACTGTGCCTCATTATCGCCTATCACCAGGAAATAATATGGTAACAGACTTATATCTAAATTATTCTACTGAACAAACATATTAAATAAAATTTATAACATAAAAAAGGTGACCAGATTTGACCATTATAGCCAGAATCAACAATAAACCTGAAATTACTTAAAATTTTAATTTGATGGGATTATTAAATGGATCGAAGATTTTTTCCCTTAATTAAAGTCCGGTTCCTCTCTTCCTTAATTGCATCATTTAACAATTAGTAATTTCAACCTTAAGAGTAACAAAAATTTTAAATTTATGGCTCACCTATATGATTTCTTTGATGACTCTCCATCATGTCCAGATCGTCTCTTTCTTGTTCGTCTTCTAATCTCTCTTCTCCGATCTCTTCTTCAGGGCCAATATCTTCTTCTCCCTCTATTTCCTCTTGCTGCTCCCCCTCTGATCCTGTTTCTTCATACTCTCTTTCTGAACTATCAATTTCAAATAATAATATTTTTCACTTTCCAACTTTCATTTTGAAAGTTCTAAGTAATTGGAATTTTGTTAACAATTACTGTGTAACAAGCAAGATCCAGCTAATTGCACCTCCACAAACGTTTATTGATAAGTTAAGGAGCCCCTTAGTGTATATTTTTCTTGTAAATTTACACTAAGGGTCTCTTCCTCTCTCTCTATAGTATTTGAGCGTAACAGAAATAAACTTGAAGTAGGCTAATGTTGTTAAAATATTAAATAAGCTATCAATTATTGGTAATTAAATGAATCAATATAATTTACATACTTGTCAGTAGTGTAAGCATCTTCGTCATGTATGTACTCATCATCTGTATCAGCATGACCACCTTCTGCAATTATACTGCCTCCTTCTTTCTCTTCTGCTGCTTGCTAAAATACAAGTAATAAAAATAATCAAAAATCCTTACAAAGACTATGACTATACTATGACTCATCAACCTTGTTCTTAATTTACACCAGTACTAGTCATCATTACAGTCATGGTACATGTAATTATGATGAAAATAGTTTTTTTAATAAATTAATTTGATATATTGTATACTTACGCCCTCTTCTTTTTCAATATTAGTGAGTGATTCAGCGTCGGCCAAGTTGTCTACTGCGATAGCCAAGAACACATTCAGTAGGATATCTGTGTAACTCAGAGTTAAGGATAACAGAAAAAGTGTTAATTGAATAATGAAATTTTCAAATTTATTACTCGAAGCTGATTTCTATACTTAATTAATGTGATAAAAACGTCTGACAACAAAGCAAAACTTTGAAGAGACGGAAAAGACGACATAGAAAGAAGGAGAAATAGATACAAGGAAAAATGGAAAATATTAATTGAAGACAAGTTTTAGAAGTTTATATCTCTTTGAAGAAGAGGTAGACGTTCGAACAGATATCAGATCAAGAAGTCTGTACAGAAATTACCATAAAAATGACAGTACAATAACAAACAGTAAACTTAATAGAACTTGTAGCAATTTTTGTAAAAGGATACAGTTACCGCAGATGAAGAGAATAATGAAGTAGATACAGGCAAGGATGCCCACAGAACCCACGCCACCGTATGCCTTTATACCTTCGTACATCACCGCGTTCCAGTCCTCGCCTGTCAATATCTACAAACAGGAGAGTAGACAAATATACATTTAATTTGTAAGAAACCTTCAGTATTACAGTTTGAATTCACTCAACGAATTCTTTTCTTGCTCTATTAACTAGAAGATAGAATAAATTAACAGAAGAAAAAGATAAGCAAGATTGGATATTAAGAGATAACATTCTAGTATTCTCTACACTGTCAGATTGTGAACTTTGTGGGCATTTATCGATACAAGAACATATATGACCAGTTAAAGAATAAAGCGTGAATATTTGGGCGTTTTTGGAAACTTACTTGAAACACAGTGAGTAATGCTTGCCAGAAACAATCGAAGTTATGCCGATCTTTTTCCTCGACAGGGTCGTAGTTAAACTTCCCGCCAAAGACCTGCATGCCGAGCAGCGCGAAGATCATGATGAAGAGAAACAGTAGCAGCAGGAGAGATGCGATAGACTGGATGGAGTTCAGTAGGGATGCCACCAGATTGGACAGCGAACGCCAGTACCTAGACAATTTGGAATATACCATGTTTCAGTTTCTGTAATTGGCAACACTGTTACTCATTTTATGTGCGGAAGAATTGGTTAATTAACTAAATATATTATTTACTTTAATATAACCTGGTATAACTTACTTGGTAACCTTAAATACCCTCAGTAGTCTGACACATCTGAGCACGGAGATACCGAGAGGTGGCATTACCTCCGTCTTGGTGAGCACCATCTCGCTAATCGATCCCACCACCACGAAGCAATCAAAGCGGTTGAATAACGACACGAAGTAACCCTGCAAGATAACCAAGAATTATTGCCACGCCTCTGTCAACTTAGAAGCTACACTTGTGATTATGTTTTTATTTTTTACTAAAAAGTGGCAAACGGTAAAGTGTAGAGTGAGTTCAGATACGATACTCTTATTCCTCCAAGTCCACTTCCCTTTCCTTATAAGAAAAAAGTGAGAAGTGGATGATAAAGTTATCCCATTTTTATATCTAGTTAACTTACTTGTAATCCTAAGCTGTACATCTTGACCAACATTTCGAGTGTGAAGAGAGCCACAAAAAAAGCGTTGCCGTACTCTTGAAACAGATCTAACCACGCGGGCTGGCTGGAAAATAAGTCGTCAGTTATCTACGTGAATTATTCAATACAATTAAATAATTAACGAAGTGAAAAAGACTCATAAGGAAAGCAATCCGTGCCTCCATATAGATATTATTGGGTTGGAAGAGAGACTATCCATTCCTATCAAGGAACATGGAGGATTGGAATTAGAAGTCGACAGCAACAATATACTCACTGATAGTGCTCGCTGGCCAGCACCACCGTGTTAAGAAAGACCAGCACGATAATTAGCCAGTAAAATGTTTGCGACTTCACCGCACGTCGGCAGGCGCGCTTCATACGTCTGTTCACCTACGTGATAACATATATGAAGATTAAAACGGTATCATTTTAGAGAAGGTTTTAGGTATTAGAAATATCTTACTTTATCAAAATCCTTCTTCCAACATTCCCCGATCGACATTTTCTTCTTCTGTTCCGTCAACACCTCGATGCCCAAGTTATCTGTCGAGTCGTTTTCACTCGTCGTCTGACCTGTTATTAAACATGTATTTTACCTACAATTATTAACAATGTCCATGCTCTCACCGAGTGTATTCCGAACATGCATTTCAGATTTAGAAATATCTTTCAATTAGAGGTGGCAACCTATAAAAAATGTCCAACACACCCATTCCATAGTCCCTCTTCTGGTCAGCGGTGTCGTGTTGGTCAGCCAGGGGCTCCAGATACTCCGCCTGCGTGATCCAGTCCAGGTAGCCTTTCAAATCTTCTTCCAGCTGCTGTTTCTCACGCAACTTCTGGAAATCACCTCGGTTCTTCGCTTTCTCTCTTTCTTTTGAGAACTCTCTAGAAAACATCAAGTATACAGCAAAAACTTAATGACGGATTATAATTTTACAATGGATCGGATGTACCTATTCTGAGCCTATTTACTACGAAATTAGGTCTTAAAGATTTATATTTTTTAAATAAAAGAACTGCTTTTAGATTATTGATGAATTTATGTAGTTGCTAGTTAATCAAATATGATGAATTGAACTTACCCTGACAACACACCAAGAATTAGGTTCATAACAAAAAAAGCTCCAAGTATCACCATTGATATAAAATAAATCCATTCCCAACTGTTGCCCATCGCATCTTGTATCTGAAAAATATACAATTTAACACTTCTTACCAGTAAGATAAATGGCATCTAAACATAGCAGGCCTAGTGGTGAGTTTCTGAGACCAAAACCCCCATGAGTTACGATGTTTTAAATAGCGATTTTGTCCCAGAAACCAACGGTAAGTAGACTTACATTATACATAACGTCGGTCCAACCCTCTAGCGTGATGCATTGGAAGACGGTGAGCATAGACAAGCCGAAGTTGTCAAAGTTGGTGATACCGAAGTTTGGGCCGATCCAGCCCTCACGACACTCCATATCCTCGCCTATGCTTGAGCAGTTGAAACCATTGTCATTGTCACAAGGGTGAGGGGACTCCATTATCTCATCTGGAGAAAGATCATATACAATTTTGTGAAATCAGAAATTAGAATTATGAAAAATATTAAATTTTACAAATACAGCTGTTAGTTAATGCATTTTACATTCTTTTAATCTGACGAAACTCTTTCAATTAAGTTGAATAGTGCAAACGATGAATAACGTCATTTAAATGCATCTTTAACTACTTCATTGCATTTAATAATGCAAATCATCTCGTTAAAACTAAGCAATTTGCTTTACTACTGAGCCCCTAGTTGCAGTAACATTCAACTAGCGACTTCGCTTAGCGAAAATTAAAAGACTTTATGTAACTGATAAAAATGATTTTGACTACATTCTCAGTACTTAAGTTATTGTATTAATAGTAACCTGTAAGCTTATTGTAGCAGGACTTGTGCATCTTGCCGGAGAAAAGCTCGAGGCCGATGATGGCGTAGATGATGATGACAAAGATGACGAGCAGCGCGATGTGCAGCAGCGGCACCATCGCCTTCAGGATTGAGTTCAACACTATCTGAAGACCTACAATCATTATTAAATGTACAATCAGTAACCTTTTAGTGTTGGTTTCTAAGACCAAAACTTCTGTATGAAACATAGCGTCATCCTTGTGATATGTCTTAACGAGGAATTTTGGTCTCAGAAACCCACTATTAGAACAAATCTTTTTATCCTTATCTTCTTATCTTATATTAATATTGTAATGTTCTTTGTTAACTGCACTCACTAGGTACTCCGGAGACGAGCCTTAAGGGACGTAGCACCCTGAACGCCCGCAGCGCCTTCACGTCGAACGCGTCCTTGAATATGCTGGATAACACCGTGCTCACCATGCTGACAATTCAAAGACATTTGTTACATTTGAGTCTTGTAACTATGAAGTATTTCGGCAAGCAATGATCTTTAATTCCAGCAATGTGTACCATGCACATTATTAAAGCGAACAACTGTAAAGATTTAAGATTAACTACCACGTTCACTAATCGTAAAAGAATAAGAAGCTCTTCCGTAGTCACCACTTAACGCCTCTAAGTACGTAACACTTAAAATATTTAGTTATTGTATATAATTGGATACAGGAAAATAGATTTTTATAAAGAGAGCATTTGATTCTTTTCATTTATAATATAATATATTTGTATATGGAAGCTTACCCTATTACGACTATAGTGAAATCGAGTAAATTCCACCCGTTCCTGAGGTAGGAGCCGGGGTGCATCACGAAGCCGTACGCTATTATCTTCATCACGCACTCGCCCGTGAATATCACCAGGAATATGTACTCAATCTTCTCCTGCAAAAAAGAATAAAGTTGAAAAAACAAAATCAATAAACAATCACTCCACTAATCAACCCAATGACTGTATACACAATGATACTCCGTAGAAGAATACGAATCAAAGAATCCCGCTGTTCAAAATCGGTTCAGCCGTTTAAGCTACAGGATGTTACAATATAAAGGACATAAATATAATTCCCCTTATGTCAGTCGAGCAATAAACTAATAGATAATAAGAGGTTTAAATAATGGTAGATACGAAACTTACCAGAACAGAATTAGTATAATTAGAATCACCGCTGGGATAAGGCGTGTATACCGCAAGAGCTATGCAGTTCGCGAATATTGTAGTCAGGATCATCCACTCGAATGGTCTGACACTGAGTTAAGGATACATTGTATCTTTTCTATTTACCTTTCCATACAACTTCAATGTAACATGACCTTTTAAGATCATAAGATAGTCTCACTTAACGTTGTTAGCACCTCCTCTTACAGATAAGGTAAAACAAAATAGATCTTCATCACAACTAAAACCAGGGCCAAGGTAAAGGCCAAGAAATAATTTGTCTAAAATGATTTAAAAACGAAAATTATTGCTATGAAATGCTTTCGTAGTCAAGACTGGATTGGTAAATCAGATTTAAAGTCAATAGGAAGTCCTTTCCAAGATGATTTTCTAATATATTTCACTCATCAATGCTTGCTAGTCAAAACTGTTATAAATCTTATAAAGAGATCTTATAGCCAGCAATAGACTCGAATGGATAGATAGATTGATAAGTGTTGAATCAAATAAAATCATCATTGCATAGTAAGTCGTAATAAATCCATTCAATGTGAATAAATTTTCTATCGTCGAAAGCGAACACGTATTGTGGTATTTGTAAATTGTAACTTTACTTGTTTTATGTTCGGACGCGTGGGAGTCATTTTCAATCGCACAGATATCTAGTGATACATCGATACTAGTCGTTTTAAAAAGATTATAATTCCCCACTGACACACGTTGCTTTGAACTGCGAATACTATGACTCAAGCTGAGTTTAATGTTAATGCTTTTTGAATTATTCACCCAAAATTTTCAGTAAAATGACTGTATCACACAGTCATCGAATTCTAAGAAAGAATTTTTCTATACAACAAAAAGTATTATCTGATTGATTGTAAAGAAAAGCTTTTAACTATAACACATAATACCAAAAATTTAAAATAAAATCTTACCAATATTATAAATGCAAATATTTAGATGGATGGATGTTCGTTAGAAGGTATCTCCAAAACGGCTGCATGGATCTTGCTGAAATTTGGCACATACTTGTAACATAGCCTGGAAATATAGGCTACTAATTTTCTTTTTAATTACGCATGGTCAGAGTGGCTTGCAACAGCTATTACTCCGTCCGCGTGGGATTAAAACAAAACTTAATAAGTAGCCCATGTGTTCTTCCAGACTATGTTTTATATCTATTCCAAATTTATGGAGATCAGTTCAACCGTTCCGGAGATGCCTTCTAACAAACATCCATCCATCTAAACGTACGCATATATATTAGTAAGTATTAGTGAGATTGAAGGTCCACAGAATTACATTTCCTGCATTGAATTACATATTGTAGTTTAGGGTTTTTCTAATAGATTTTTTTTTAATAAATTGAAATATAATTCATATGGTATGTAAGCGGGTAACGGCCTCCGTACGCAAATAAACATCATGTTAAATAAATGGCCGCGCGCCAAGCAATCCAACAAATGCATGAATGGTAAACATTGCTATTTGACGTTTTGATGCCAGGAAGTGATGTTTCCTTTATTTTATACTGTAATTAACTTGTGGACTCATTTTGTCTTCTGTGACTTTTCTTTCCGGCTTTTAAAAGGTTTTGTTATTTTTACAAAACAATAATAAAATTGGGTCAGATTTTTAGGTTATGTTACTCATTGCTGATGATTAATGTTCATGATTCAATAATCTGAAGATGTCCAAGTCCAAGAAAATTATTTTTGGTTGAAACAAAATATTTAACATATGAGCTTTGATTATTTTATAGATTTTATTTAATAGTATGATGATAAATATATAACCAAAGCTATGAAACAAAGTGAAAGATAGTTTTCAGTCCAACATATATAACACGTAATATCTTGATAATTATTAATATATCATAGTTCTAAACTGTAACTAAAAAAATATAGAATAACTATATATGACGAGATTTTAGGTCACGACAGATGGGATGCATTACGTCTGACAGCGCGCAGCTGTACCTGACACACACCGATATTTTGATGTCATAATAAAGTACATCTCGCTATCGTTTCACTATGGTGTAGGCAATATTGAGATAATCATTCCATAGCTGCACTTTTTATATCATAATGTGGCAAACGAGTAAGTGGCCAGCTTTAATTGCAGATGCCTTGCTTACAGACGGACGAGGGAACGCATAAAAAGAAAAAAGTTCCCTTTATGCGACCTTTCCAAATAATCTTCCCCTTCTCATTATCTTTATATATATAATTCTTCTGTGAGTGTGTATGTCACTGAACTTCTCTCAAACGACTGGACCGATTTTGATGAAATTTTTTGTGTGTGTTCAAGGGGATCTGGGAATGGTTTAGATTCACAATTTTGTCCGCTGGACAATGTTTTTTTAATTAATTTTTAATTTATTAGTAGTTGTTGATTTTGGAATGTTTTACATTGGATCCGACAGACGGCGCTACCATCGCAGTGTCAAATTTTAAATAATATTCGAATTAAAGACGTGTAGACAGGACGACGTCTGTCGGGTCCGCTAGTCTTATATATAAAATTCTCGTGTCACGATTTTCGTTCCCATACTCCTCCGAAACGGCTTCACCGATTCTCATGAAATTTTGTGAGCATATTTAGTAGGTCTGAGAATCGGCAAACATCTATTTTTAATCCCGCGCGGACGGAGTCGTGGGCGACAGTTAGTTTTCTTATAAGAAAAGGATGGGTATGTAACGTGGATTAAGATATTCCATCACCCAGACTATTCAGACGTAACACAGAATTGCATCCACTTGAGGCGTGGCTTCTATGTGGTCGTCGTATTGCACCGGGCAAGCCGGCAACAAATATTATTATTTCGAACTCTACCATTGTTAAAACATACATATATTCTTGACTGTTAATAGAAAAAAAAAACAAAAAAGCTTTACAATTCCTTAGGACTCTACCTCCTTTGGTAGATGGAGACCTGTGTTACTAAAGGTAGTGCCTACTCTTCATCTAGGTATGTGTGTGTTTGTGTGTGTGTGTACGTGTGTGTGTTTGTGTGCAATATTAGAGCAGTTAATGGATTACAATCTCTTTTATTTTAAAGGTTATTACTCACTAGTGTTTTCTATTTTATGACTTTTTATATTTCGCAAGTCAAGCTATGAATATGTTAGTAGGTCTGTATATCTGGATCGTATCAAAAGAATATAGTAAACAATATATTAACATACAAACACGCATTGCGTCGACCCGATTGAACACGGGTTTTTGTAAAGGGATTTTACGTTTATTGGTTTAAGGTTTCGTAACATCGATGCAATTAATAAAAATGGAATGTTTGTTTGTTGTAATTGAAAAAAAAAATCACAAGTTTCGCGTATTTTCATTCATCTTGGTATATAATTTAATGTGTATTGAAAAAAAATAAGGAGCGTCGGTGGCTCAGGGGTTGCAGTACTTGACTTGTAATTTGTCTTGGGTTCGAATCTCGCCATTTACCAATGTGTTTTTTTATTTTATTTATACATATGTACGTTTATCCAATGTTCTTACGGTGAAGGAAAACATTGTGATCCTGCACATATCAGCAATTACATTTTAAAGATATGTGTGAATTCCCGGGAGAAAAAGGCGCCGACGCAGCTCATTTGCACTCACGTTCTGTCTCCCAAAAAGGCGAAAAGTGGATTGCGGAGGTTCGTTTAGCCACACAGGAGGTCGTTGTCTCTGCCTACCTCTTTGTGTTACAGGCGTTGTGTTTAAAATAAAAAGTACGTAAAGTAATATAATGTTACTTTAGTATTACATTAGAAACGCAGGTGAGCGATGTATTTGCGTTGTTAAATCAATTTGTAAAGCGTTAGGCAGGCGAGGTATTGGCAGATTGCCTACAGGAACTATTGTGTTGACAGAAATTTAAAAGTAGCAATCGAAACGTAAACATGTAAGTTTACCTGAGTTTGTAATGCAAACATCTATGCACATAATACGTTTATCTTGTTCCTGCACAGAGAATGACTGAGATGTAGAGATGTTTCGTCAGTCAGAATTTACAACAGTGATATCTAGATTTAAAATTAAATATCAATAGTTAAGTAAAAATATATAACTAAGCTAGCGGACCCGACAGACGTTGTCCTGTCTACACGTCTTTAATTTGAATAAATTAATATGAAGTTAATATTTGATGAAAATTGTGAATATAAACCATTCCCAGATCCCCTTGAACACACACAAAAAATTTCATCAAAATCGGTCCAGTCGTTTGAGAGAAGTTCAGTGACATACACACTCACAGAAGAATTATATATATATAAATATTGAATCTATATGTGAACTTATGAGTTCAAAAGTTTTGAGAAAAAACATAAAGTGCAAGCTTAAAACATGTTTGTCCGGAAGACCTTAACGCTTGTAACAAACCAATGAGGTTTATTTAGCGTTAAATATATGTTTATTCGTATTCAAAATTGTATTGTTAAATAAATAAAAAAAAATATGTTAAAAAGTTGAATAATCGGATGATCATTTTCAAAATCAGTTCGTTAGCTTTTCTAATTAAGTATTCTTATTTCTTGGACTTTATCAAATTAATTCATCTCTGTGAGTACATAAAGGAATAAGATATAACTATTATACAATAAAATATTTTCTAGATAAAATTTGAATAAAGATTATTATGTTATTTGATGGCAGCGATCTGTACAAAATGTTGGCTTCGTTTCAAACGAAGCAAATGCGAACTGATGCCCGCTGATTAAATAATTCCGACAGCGTTCATACTTTTTATTTTAATATCATCTGACATGGAATGAATTTGTTATATTATTTTATTTGTTAATAAGGGAACATATCCATACTACGTGACTTATTTCTTTAGTTTTTTCGACCCCTCCCTCCCCTCGGTGACCACTCTTAGTACATGCCAAGACCCCCTCCTCTTTATTTTAACTTAGTAATTCATAATGATGATTTTTAATCATTTCACAAGTAAAAATTGAAAAAGAAATAATTTGGCTCATACTCTTCTTTATAGCATAAGACTGCATGCATTCTTAAATTACTAATGAATTATGTTTTATAAAAAAAAACAAGTAACGACTACGTGACTAAAATCTGAGCACCCCCCTCCCGCTCCTGTTACTGACCGTAGTTTTATAAACACTCCGCCCCCCCTTCTAAACGGGTCACGTATTACGTTCCCTAACAACATCGTATAGTAACTGTTTAAGAATAGTGTTATGTATATTAATTGAATAGTTTTTACGATTTGACATTAAATCTCTTATAAGATATATAAAAACTCTTATAATATTGTCATTTATAAAGTTAACTACACCTGGGAAATCTTTTTTTATTCCAAAATTTATCTCATAGAGAAGTTTAAGTCCAGATTGATTTCAAACTGATATGTGGCCACTAGGTCAAGATTATGTTACTAATTAGAATAAAATATATATTTTAAGTCACTTTTTTCCAGAGAGGAATGCTTTATGCATACTCCGCGCCCCGGTAGTTATGTGGGATTCTCCTCCATAGCGGAGGCATACCCACTAAACCCCTCTGTTCCTCCAATGCATCGGGACGGGACCACGGGCACGCTTTCGCTCCCGTCCGCGACCATATTTTAAGTCACTTAGATCTGGGCTTATAAGCTGTCATTTTAATACCAAATACTTATTAAAAAGGATACTTCCATTCCACTATATCAATACACAATTTCCTCAAGGGATTCTTTAGTGTCAAACAGAATAGGGCTCTCTTGGGCCTCTCCTGTTGGACCTTTGGACCTCTTCTCGGTGGCTTCCTTGGCGCGACGGGCACCGGTATGAGAGTCCCCGTGCCATCGGGCGCGGCTGGTGTGACTGGACCCCCCGCAGCGACCGGCGCAGGGGGTGCGGGGGGCGCAGGGGGCTCTTCTGTACTGGCCTCCGCCACGCTCATCTTGCACTGAAACATGTTTTATAATTAGTTGTAGAAATTCCCGTTAAAACTACTTATATTTATAAATGTCCTCGTGGCCAATGACTATCGCTATGTTCTTGACATTGCTACAAATATTTTGTCATCGCCAATGAATGTAAAATTACGTTTGTATTTTAGTTTGTATATTTTTAAATACATAACATACATTCCTACAGATTTCTAATTTTAATTTAAATTAAGAATGAAATGTTACTAATAATTATGAACACAAAAAGGATGTTTAGAAGTATGTTACATTATATCTTTGAACTTAGTCTGGAAGAATGTGAAGGCTACTTATAATGATATTAAGGGTGTTTTTAAAGTTTTCAAAAGTTAGTAGAGTAAATATTTTTTTTTTAAAAAGAGAAGGTGGCAAACAAGCTGCGGGTAATCCGAGGTAATCAACGACACCCATGGACATCTGCAACACCAGAGGAACTGCAGAAACATTGCCGGCCTTAAGGAAATGGTATGCTGGCTTCTTTATATGTTTACTTATATTATTTTATAGAAATACTCTTTAATTTAGCGTAATATCCAAAATAATATTATTGTCTTAAATTCTAGGATAGAAACCTATCGATATTTTTCTTAGTTTAACTGCAAAATAACCAGTATTCTTTTATATATAAAAGATTTCGCGTTAACTCTGTAAAAACATTTCTAAACGCCATTTCTCGTCAAATTGATGCAAATTTTAGCAACACATTGTTTATTTATGTTAAACGAAATGAGTTGTTTATATTTAAAAATGAGATTTATGAGTTTGTTTCGAGAATTTAAATTCATTAGCGACGATATATTTACGTTTGTGTTGAGGTTAACGACATCAGACGCGGAAAAGAATTGCGAAAATAATAAACATTTATACGATTTAAATTATGTTAGGTATTCAAAAACTCTGGTGGACTACACAAAGTGTACTCGCTACGAATCGATTCCATAGCGAACTTCAAAAATGTGGAACTGACGCGCGACAATTACGTGACTTATCGAAAGTTCTTGTCAGTTCTAAACAATTTTGAAGTTCGTTATGGAATTGCTTCGGACCGAATGCATTTTGTCTAGCCCCGCTGACCACTATAAATGGATAGGGGATGGCGAAATGACAGCTGTCAATGATTTAACGTTTTATGTACGGAGCGCGCGCAACACGATATTCGGCATACATAGTTTCAAAGTTTAACGTTACTTTTTGTACGAAGAGCCTTACTAGCATTTATTGTAGGTTAGAATTGTTTATATACTTTTATAAAACATATTATAAAAACACTTATTGTCATCCTTTTAATAAATTAAATAAATCAGATGCCTATATCAATTTTATTCACACACTAGTTGTCGCTCGACTCCGTCTGAGTGGATTAAAAAAAAACTTAAAGTAGCCTATCTGTGCTTCCAGGTTATGCTCTACATCTATACCAAAATATAAATTTAAAAATATATAAATTTCAGCAAGATACGTGCAATCGTTCTGGATATGCCTTTAAACGAACATCCATCCTTCCATACATCCATCTAAACATTCGCTTTTATAATATTACTAAGATAGAACAAAATATTTAATGTTTTAGAATTTATTAAAATCTACGTTATTTATAAAGACTTTTAACGAAGGGCGTAACTATAGTTAATTTAATATTACGAGCCGACATAAAACATATCGCGGAACAAGAGTTTGGTTAACGTTAATGATTCAACGCGTTTTAATTTAAATATTCAACGTACCAGCTCACGTAGATGTTAAACGTTCGTATTTTTATGTGTAGGAAAAACAAGGAGAAATAATTAACAATTTTTAAGGTAACTTTTGCTTTTTTCGATATGGCTACTCGATCTTCCTATGACACTCTTTTCATGTAACCCTAACTATAGCCCGCGACTGTATCCGCGTGGAATTAAAAAATATTAATGAGTAGTTATGTTCTTCCAGACTATGTCTACTACTAAATCTATGCCAAATTTCAGCGAGATCCATGAGGCCATGGAGATACCTTGTAACAAACATCCATCCATCCAAACATTCGCATTTATAACATTATTAAGATTATAAAACTATTTCAACAGTGTAATTTCATGGGTGAACTTTAACGGTAGTTTATACCAGTATGACGTAATTAAGAATATCATTTTGAAATCTCTCTTCCTCGTTTTACTTTTCAACACTCAATAAATATACACAGATTATGTTTGATCTTGTATTTTGTATATCAGCTGTCAGATTAAACGCACGTGTTCCGTTAGTTAAATAAATAGAAAAATTGTTTATTTTTAATAGAATGTTGTAATTCATCGTAGGTGAATATTTGCTATTTTATTTTATATCAAAGATTTTGAACTCTTTAAATTGTCTTGAACGTTATATGATTATTATGTAATTGCCTATTTCCTATTTAATAACCTTCATCTGCTATGCATATCTAATATTCTTTATAAATTCATTAAATAAATTGAAATTAAAAAAAAATAAACTCAACGACATTTGCTAAATAAATTTAATTCATATTAAACAGTTTATACGTAACTAATAAAGAAATACGTGGGAAATGTCCTCATACTTTATACGTAACGTCAATTTTGGCGGGAAAACGCATTCCGCCATGTTGTAAAATGTCATCGAGGACAGAAATCGCGGGAAAGACATTTATTGACTTATAATGTAAAATGCGTCAGTAAACCTGCATGATATATTTCTCTCTTTCTCTCTTATGAGTTTTTTCGTATGTTTACTGCGATAGAAAATTTGATGTAGCTTCGTATCAGTTGGGATTTAACTTTTTTGTTTTTTATTAGCACACGGCTTTGGTATGTTCGAGATTTTCGCGCTGTTGGATCTATATTGTGTTATGTTCAAATTGGGTCAAATACACGACCTGCTCTGTGAAGTAAATCATACGATTTGTATTTGAAGTGTTAGTTTATTTAGTAACTAGAATTATAATAATATTTATCATTTCCTAATCTTACTAATATCATAAATGCGAATGTTTATATTGATGGATGTCTGTTAGAAGGTATCTCTGGAACGGCTCAACGGATCTTCATGATATTTGGCACAGATTTAGAACATGGTCTGTAAGAACACATAGGCTTACCTATTAAGTTTAAATCCGCACGGACGGAGTCCCGTGTAATAGCTAGGTTTTTATAACTAAAATATTTTGAAGCTGTTACGAGTTTTTTTTTTTGGAGTTTGATGTGCAGATTTGTTATAAAATTATATGAAAGTCAACGCAGATCAAATATTTTTATTATGTAGTAAAAGAATTTAATTCCCTACCTGTTTAGCATATTGTCCAGCATCGTATAAATACTAGCTTACAAGTCGATTGCAATTTGAATATTAAATTGTATATCATCAGAAATGGAAGGAGATAAACCTCTGTACATTTAGATATTAATATTGTGTTTCTAGAACGGTTAATATGCGTCGATGTAAAGAGTCACAGGGAAATGAATCTTGGCTTCAGTGAAGCAATTAGTCACGGCAGACATTTTGTTTATTGGCATTGAAGTTTGTAAAGTTACGATCTTTAAAATTTTGTTGATGTGAAAATTGCTTCCCGATTTTTATTGCATTCGTCATATGATTGCTATGTTTATAAATACACCGTTGGAGTGTGCCAACGTGAATGACGATCGTTTAATTTACTGGAAGAAATGCAATTGATTAGTAATCGTACTAACATTATAAATGTGAATGTTTGTATGGATGTTTGTTAGAAGGTATCTGCAGAACGGTTGCATGGATCTCATTGAAATTTGGCATATAGATGTAGAACATAGTCTGAAAGAACACATGGGTTACTATTTTTATTAATTCCGTGTGGACGGATACATAGTTATTAATAAGTCTTTAAATTACATCTGGGGTAGATATATACAGCTTTAATGGATGTTAAAGGCGTTGATACAATAGGCGATGAATAGATATTTTTAAATAAGATGTGATTATTACATTTTTAGCTTTTAAAATCAATAATGGACGGAGAGATTTTTGCTCTACTGACAGGAGAATATTTTTCTTAATAAGTTTAGGGGGGGCTACAGTTGCCTAAGTGGATTTTTAATCATCTTATTCTGTGTTATATTCTTAACAATTTTTTTAATGAACAGATAAAATAGATAATAGAATAAGAAGGGAATAATTGTTCTTGTCCTTTTAAAGATCGCGAGATGTATGAAAGTGGAAACCTGCAGATTTTTGTGTAGATTCATTTGTTGCGTGTTGAGTCATCGCGCACTTATCCCGCACCGAGGTGAACGGCATTCGTCATGAATTATGTACTCCTGGTTATTTAAAGCCCGTTGTTTCTGTAACCGACTGAATTGTGTTAATTGTTGAACATTTTGACGGAATGCAAGATTTGGACGTGCATTGACCTAACGTAACCGTAATCTTATTAATATTATAAATGCGAATGTTTGGATAGATGTTAGAAGGTATATTTACAATGGCTGCAGTGATGACACTCAAATTTGGCATACATTTAGAACATAGCCTGAAAGAACATAGGCTACTATTTAATTTTTTTTTAATTCCGCGCGGACAGATTCGCTGGCGATAGCAAATTTTATTATAGTTCTTTTGTGTTCTGTACAGTGACTCACGCAAATTTTAGAGGTTAATTATTTTTACAGCTAGCTAAAATTTAAATTCGATGTAAAATAAAACATGTCTCCCGATTTGACTGGAACTAAAATGATGGTAAATATTCTAAAATAATCCTTAATCATTAGGGTATTCACGGACATATATATAAATAAAATTGGAGTGTCTGTAATATTAAAAATAACCGTTTTGTTCTATGTATATGAATACAAAAACGGCTAAACATCAGTGCCGCCACCAGACGAATATAAGTGAGTGTTTAGCAGTTTTTATATAAGTTAACCTATTGTCTGTCTATCTGTTTATTCCGGCTAATCTCTGTAGTAGCTGGACCGATTTCGACCTGACTTTTTTGGCAGGTAGCTGGTTT